GGCGCGAGTGCTCGGGGTTGGCGCGAGTGCTCGGGGTGTGGCGCGAGTGCTCGGGGTTGGCGCGAGTGCTCGGGGTTGGCGCGGGTGCTCGGGGTTGGCGCGGGTGCTCGGGTGGGATTCCGCCAGGTCGGCCGGGAGCCGACGCGAAGCTGATGGCCGCCGCGGCTTCCGGCCAGACGGGACGGGCACGCGGCGACCGTCAGCCTCGAGTCGGCTCCCGGCCAGACGACGGAGCACGCGGCGACCGCCAGCCTCGAGTCGGCTCCCGGCCAGACGAGACGGGAGCACGCGGCGACCGCCAGCCTCGAGTCGGCTCCCGGCCAGACGGGACGGGAGCACGCGGCGACCGTCAGCCTCGAGTCGGCTCCCGGTCAGACGTGACGGGAGCACGCGGCGACCGTCAGCCTCGAGTCGGCTCCCGGCCAGACGGGACGGGAGCACGCGGCGACCGTCAGCCTCGAGTCGGCTCCCGGCCAGACTGGACGGGAGCACGCGGCGACCGTCAGCCTCGAGTCGGCTCCCGCTGCGAGGACTGACCGCGGCGAGCGATGACATCAGAGCGGATGCCTGGCCGCTTACTGTCACTTGGCCGCCTTGGTCCGCATGAACCTATCCCTGGAGCTCAGAGGCGGTCAAGGGACGCCGAGACCATCGAGGGTGGTCCAGGGCCTCCTGGACTGACATGAGCTTTCTTACGCCCGGAACGAAACACTGCCTTGCGCCCATCAGGGGCCGAAGCAGTGACAGAGAGGGCTTCTGTGCGGGAAGTAGCCGGCGCTCGCCATACAGCAAGGCGTGCATATAGTGTCCACCTTTCATCTTTATCACATGACCATCGGCACCTATACGGGTAAGGGATTTCGTTAAGTGCTCTGCACGTCTTTCCAGGATATAGCAATTTCTGTTGACTTTGACGCTACAATCAGAGTAGACTACTTAATAAAAGGCGCTTGTGCCAATAGTCCAATCAAAATTCGTAATTAATCAATGGACCAATAAAATTGCCAAGCCCGCAGGCGCTCGAGAGACACGACGGTTGAAAACCTCGAGAACTGATGAACCTATGTGGCCAATGCTTTCTTTCGGGGGCTGTCACCTGGCCCTTGCACATTACTCGGCTCAGCAGATGCTTGACTTAGACAGCGGGCCTCGAAAACGTTAGGGGGGTAGGGGGCGAGCACGTAGCCGGCCAGCGGGATCTGATAGTCAAGGAACCGGACCAGTGGCAGTTGGGTCAGTGGCAGGCCAGTCAAGTCAGGGGGTCAGGTGACCCCTAAAGGCCGTTCATCCCAAACGGTGGGCGCAGAACAAGCATGATCTCTGGGATGGCCAAACTTTCACGAAACACTTGAAGGCACCTAGGTCGATGGCAGCACTCAAAACAGCCAGGTAGGCCAAAAGTTTATGGCGCCGAAGTCGGCAAGACCCTAGACGGACTCAAAATCCTCAAGGCGAGGTCATGAAGCTGGAGACGCGCGACAGATGTCGACACTGTAGGAGAAACAATATGCAGTCAGCAGGGTCTGTAATGGCTGTTGACCTCCAGGATAGCAAAGGGATCACTGGATAACGACAATACCCACGGGCATATGTCAGGGAAGGGGGAATGAATGGACCACCTTCACCTCGTGGAAGTTGAAATAGACATTTCTGAGATGCGTGAGAAGAACTGAACAGCCTCATTTGATGCGTGAGAAGAACTAAACAGCCTCCTGTGATACGTGAGAAGGACTGAACAGCCTTCTGCGATGCGTGAAAAGAACTGAACGGTTTACTGTCATGCTCGAAAAGAGTTGAAGTTTCAAAAGTTGTCGCTTCTGTTGAAACATATTTCCGTCATTGGCGGAGGCGAAACCTTTCAAGAAATGTATGCAAGCGCTATTTCTTAGTTCATTCCTTGTATACAATGTCACGGACCTTATGCCAATGTTCTGGCACATTGGGGATGGAGCTACATCCCCAATACATTAAAACATTGATATTATGATTATAGTAGCTCTAAACAAGGAAGCATTCCCAATTAACAGCAAGGTCGCATACATGATCTCCGGCATCCGAGCTGGTCTGGCTCCTCTTAAGATGCGAGGGAGCCTGAGGCCGTCAGGGGTCCTAAAGCAGTCAAGAGATCAGGGACAGAACTGACGGCCTTCGAAAAGGACAGGACGTTCAAGGGATCTCGAGTCCGTAGGATTGATTCTTGGCAGTCAAGGGCCCCAGTAATGGTTAGGGTCGGACACCGTGCAGGTTGACAGGACCTCCCGTACGTTCCGTGGTTATACTTGTAGAATGATCTGAGTGTCTTTTCAAATTTCATGCATTTCTTAAGTCCAGATTACGATGTCATTCTCTCATAGCTGACATGCAATTTGACTTCCAGCCGCTTGATTCATTCATGAATTCATGGTTATTAGATGACACAGACCTCTAATCAGCTGGCCCAGTCCCAGTTAATGTGAACAGTCACGCAGTGCCACGCCGCATGCTCTCCTCCACGGCCAGCCGGCCATGCCAGTGATTCTCCGGACAGCCTCAGCCCCAGCTCCAGCCCTGTGCGGGCAGCCAGTGGTCCTCCGGGCATCCCAGGCCCAGCCCCAGCCCTGCACGGCCGTTCGCGCCTGGTGGCCAGCCACAGATCCTCGGACCGTGACGGCCGAGGCTCGCTATCGTCAGCTGAGCCCGTCACAAGCCCGCCCCGTGACGTCGAGTCATCACGCCAGGCCGCCCCGTGACGCCGAGTTATCACGTTAGCCCGCCCCGTGACGCCGAGTCATCACGTCAGCCCGCCCCGTGACGCCGAGTCATCACGCCAGCCCGCCCCGTGACGCCGAGTCACCACGCCAGCCCGCCCCGTGACGTCGAGTCATCACGTCAGCCCGCCCCGTGACGCCGAGTCACCACGCCAGCCCGCCCCGTGACGTCGAGTCATCACGTCAGCCCGCCCCGTGACGCCGAGTCATCACGCCAGCCCGCCCTGTGACGCCGAGACACCACGCCAGCCCACCCCGTGACGCCGAGTCATCACGTCAGCCCGCCCCGCGACGCCGAGTCATCACGCCAGCCCGCCCTGTGACGCCGAGTCACCACGCCAGCCCTCCCCGTGACGCCGAGTCATCACGCCAGGCCGCCCCGTGACGCCGAGTCACCACGCCAGCCCTCCCCGTGACGCCGAGTCATCACGCCAGGCCGCCCCGTGACGCCGAGTCACCACGCCAGCCCTCCCCGTGACGCCGAGTCATCACGTCATCCCTCCCCGTGACGCCGAGTCATCACGTTAGCCCGCCTTTTGACGTCGAGTCATCACGCCAGCCCGCCCTGTGACGCCGAGTCCTCATGCCAGCCCGCCCCGTGACGCCGAGTAATCACGCCAAGCCACCCCGTGACGCCGAGTCATCACGTCAGCCCGCCCCGTGACGCCGAGTCATCACGCTAGCCCGCCCTGTGACGCCGAGTCATCACGCCAAGCCACCCCGTGACGCCGAGTCATCACGTCAGCCCTCCCCGTGACGCCGAGTCATCACGTCAGCCCGCCCCGTGACGCCGAGTCATCACGTCATCCCGCCTTTTGACGTCGAGTCATCACGCCAGCCCGCCCTGTGACGCCGAGTCATCATTCCAGCCCGCACCGTGACGCCGAGTCCTCACGCCAGCCCGCCCTGTGGCGCCGGGTCATCACGCCAGCCCGCCCCGTGACGCCGAGTCACCACGTCAGCCCGCCCCGTGACGCCGAGTCACCACGCCAGCCCACCCCGTGACGCCGAGTCATCACGCCAGCCCGCCCCGTGACGCCGAGTCATCGCGCCAGCCCTCCTCGTGACGCCGAGTCACCACGCTGACGTACGGCCCTCTCAGACATCGCCAAACGGGCCGTGACGTCATGCTGATAGATTTTCGTGTTAGACACCAATAGTAACGCTATGGTTACAACGGCATTTGTACGCGCGGCAGACATTCAACCTAGAGCTTATCCGCGTGTACTCAACGTTGTGCAGCCTGATGAAATGACATGCGCAGTAGTCAACACTCCAGGCTACATTTTTCAATATATTTACAATGTGTCATTAGAATGCTAGGCAAATGCCGCTTAACATAAACTTCGGTGAAACTTTAAATAATGCAATCAACGACATAAATAGTGTTGCACTCGGCACAGCAGCTCCCCGTGCCGCAGACGTCGTGCCCGGACAGGCGGCAGCTACGCGCCTGTGATCTGATTGGTCACCACCCCACCAAGGCCGAAGGTAACATCAACGCTGCTGGATTTATGCCGCGTCTCGCGGGATCGAAGCGAGCCAATCACAGCGAACAATGGCGGCCGGGCGTGCGGTGTCCGAACGGCGGCAGCGCTCGCCGCTAAAGCGCGTGACGAAGGGGTTCAAGCGTGTTTCAAAAGCACCAGTGAGGAGCACACGAACCGGACGGCGTCCAGCGTTCACAGGTCATCGCCGCTGCCGCTCGGGGGCCTTACTCCCGACTCACTCGCGGACATCACGTCAGCCAGCAGGCCTGGTCCAGCACGCGGATACCCAACAATAAAAACACACGCCGACTCCGAACCCACAACCCCAAGTGGACCCCGCGCGCTCTAACGATCCGAGTTCGCACGAGTGACACAATGGACAAAGCGGCGATTTAGGCGGCCCTCCTAGCACAGCACATTTTTCTCAAGACGATCGACGCAAAAGTCCATTACCAGACAGAACGAGACCAGAACAGACCATACACCCCACCACACAAGCACACACACGCCGAGACCTCCGGTCCGACCGAGCAGGCGGCCGGAGTGGGGCGATCCCCGCCGCCTCTTTATCACAGGCGGGGGACGCGGCGTGCGCCCGCCGCTGGAGAGGGGCGAGGTGGCCCGCTCAGCCCGCGAGCGTGCCGCACCCCCGGGCTGTGGGTCCGACCGGCCGCCGCACCGGAGCCGCGCCGACGCTCCGGTCCGCCGGCGGCTGTCGCTCGCCCAGCAGGCGTTCAGGCGCGCCACCGAGGGCGGGGGCGGCCGCGCACACGTTCGGAGCGGACGCTGTCAGCGCGCGCCGACGCCGCCGCAGACCGGACGGCGACGCGGGGCCAGAGCACGCTGACAGGCGCGCTGGTCACCTGCCGCGGACGTCCGAGTGTGGAGGGTCCGCGCCAGCCTGCCACAGCTGGGAGGGGAGAGGCTGCCGGGGCCTGGAGGTGCGCACAGCGCCGTCGTCGGTCCGGTGGGAGCAGCAGCGCCGCCGCGGCGTTGTCGACCGTTTGGCGGCGTCCGGTGCTCAGGCTCGGGCCCAGACCGCCGCCGCCCCGCTCGGTCTTATAGCGCTCAGCCGGTCGGCACGGCTCGCCGTCTGTCCGACAGCCCGGCCGGCGCCGTCCCCGCCTCAGGTGTTCGGGGGGCGGCCGGCGCGCGGCCGGCGCCCGAGCTCCTACTGCCACGCACGGTCCGGAGATCGGGGCGCAGCCCGGCCGCCGCTCCCCCTGGCGCCGGTCCGAACGTTCCACACACGGCAGTGCCTGGCCAGGCCTCCAGCACCGCACACCCGGCGGCGGGGCTCCGCACGTCCCCACACCCTCAGACGGGCTGCGGCCAGCTCACCCGGCCAGCGGCGGCCGGCCGCGCCGCTCTGGCAGCGTCGACGTGCGCTGAGCGTCCATCCGACAGCAGACGGTCCGACTAAGGACAACAGACACCGACGCCCGGCGGATCTGGCAGCTCTGGACGGCCTCCGCGGCTGCCAAATGTCGGGCGTTCGTGCTGCGCCGCGCCGCGCCGCGCCGCGTAACAATGGCCCCGGCTTCCGGGGCTGGGCGGAGACCGCCGCCCGGCTAGTCGATCTTGACGGTGCTGTAGATCTTGTGGACGAAGTAGTTGGTGCCAAGGTAGCCGATGGTGCCGCACATGATGCCGAGCACGGAACTGAAGAGGCCCATGTAGGTGAAGTAGAATGCTGTCTGGAACAGGCCGTACATTCTGCGGAAGAAAGCGGGCAGATGATGAACAGCTGGAAGGGATAGGATCGTTTTTTTCAGTAGATCACGCCAGAAGTCTTCTCTCATGCCGCAATAATTTGACAAAGTTTTAGCCCGCACACAGGTCCACACTGCACAAGAAGATCCCGCTAAAATCACAGTCGGATCCGCCTCGCACAAGGAACGGGCGCCCGAGATGCAACATGCCCAGCCCCACCTACCGCGGTAGAGCGCCTGGGGCGTACCCAAACGGGCCACGACATCGCGAACGGCGTCACTCACTTGGTCTTGAAGAAGAAATAGTAGATGGAGTACATGTAGACGTAAGCCGAGGTGGAGCAGCCGGCCAGGAAGCTGGTCCACTGCCTGCGGGCACGCGGAGGAGGACGGGGCGGTCAGCCTCCTGCTACACGGTACGTGAGGCACGGTGTAGCAGGTGTAGCAGGGCGGTATAACAGAACGTGAAGTACGATGCAGCAGATGTGGCAGTACAGCGCAGCAGGTGTGGCAGCACGATGTGGCAGGTGAAGCTGTATGGTGTAACAGTATGTGGGGTACGGGGTAGCAGGTGCAACAGTACTGTGTAACAGTATGTGGGATACCGTGTAGCAGGCACGGCAGCCGTCACGACACTTAACATTTACATTTACGTGCTTTTAACAATTCGACACTGAAAGTCGCTCGTTCTGGAGGTTGAACCGGACTGACTTTCCCGGCATTCGGCACCTGAAGCTGCGATACTACCCATGATGCAGTAGTACCGCATCGCATGCCACGTTACCGCATGCGAGGCAGTTCTGCTAACAGGGGCCGACAGCCTCAGCCCACCCGCTACCGCCGACATGGCGGACAGTCATCCCACGAGACCACCAGGCACCAGCCGGACGGCAGGCGGGGTCGTCTCGTCCCACCGCCTCGGCCCCAGCACGCACCATCGGTAGTCTTCAGCGTTGAGCAGGAAGTAGGTGCAGACGATGGTGACGCAGACGGAGACCACCGACAGGATGAGCAGCACCAGCAGCATGAAGCCGTACACGTAGTAAATCTTGTACGCCCAGAACGACGTGAAGATGAAGTACCTGCGACCGGGTAAGCACACAATCCAGCGGTGGACTTTCAATGACAAACAGCAAAACGATGAAACACATGTCCTGTCCCAGCATTTCGACATTTTACACAAATTTTCAACCGAATACCAATGAAGACATTTGACGGGCAGAACAAACGACTCAGTTGCGTTGTGAACTGGAAGGACATCAACGAGAAAGCCTAAGACCGTCCGAGATCGGCAAATTAAATCCATAGCGTTCCCCGCAGGTGGAGATCAGGCCAAGGCCTGAGCCCAGCGAAGCTCTTTTCCCAGTACATGTCTTAAGATTCCCAGCATTTCACCTACATCTCGCGAAATGTTTCGCATAGAGAGGTTTTCAATTCTAACGTTGCCGTGTTTCAGCAGCTCGTCGCTATTAACGTCGAACCATGTGAGAGCCCGGCAGGCCAGTGCCGCGGCGGGTTCCGCTCTGTATCGACCTCGAGTCAGTACTTATGAGCCTATGTACTCGGTCTCATCCCTCGGCGACTGGAGGCACTCGGTCCCATCCCTCGGCGACTGGAGGTACTCGGTCCCATCCCTCGGCGACTGGGGGTACTCGGTCTCATCCCTCGGCGACTGGGGGTACTCGGTCCCATCCCTCGGCGACTGGGGGTACTCGGTCTCGTCCCTCGGCGACTGGAGGTACTCGGTCCCATCCCTCGGCGACTGGGGGTACCCAGTCTCATCCCTCGGCGACTGGAGGTACTCGGTCCCATTCCCCGGCGACTGGGGGTACCCAGTCTCATCCCTCGGCGACTGGAGGTACTCGGTCTCACCCCTCGGCGACTGGAGGTACTCGGTCCCATCCCTCGGCGACTGGAGGTACTCGGTCTCATCCCTCGGCGACTGGGGGTACTTGGTCCCATCCCTTGGCGGCGGGGATGCCACAGCTCACAGCTAGTGAGGGCCTAAACTGATACTTGAGTTGCTCTGCAGATGTGTGTGCTTTTCACGAAGGCCTTGGAATATCTATAACTAAACACTCGAATAGTCTAAGACCCTAATACCCATTTCTACACTAATTACAGAGAATATTATCATGACAGCCTGCCGTACGTGCACCTTTTTTAAAGCCGTACAGCAATCATTTCACGGCTTTCAAAGAACGCTCAGAAGAATAATGAGCGTTCTTTTAAGCAGAACACTCATTGGACGACCACACAGCCGCAGCGCTGCACAATCCGACGGCGGTGGGCGTAGACTCACATCTCAATGAAGATACTGCCGAAGGGCAACACGCCACCGAGCGGGATGATGACCCAGGGCTCCATGAACCACTTCTTCTCCGGTATCGGACGGGGCACGGCGTTCACTCTGCGGCATAGGTCACCGGTCACCGGCCAGAGGTCCCCGCTCACGGGGTCAGAGGTCATTACTCACGGGTCAGATGTCATTACTCACGGGTCAGAGGTCACCACTCGTGGGTCAGAGGTCACTACTCACGGGTCAGAGGTCACCACTCACGGGTCAGTGGTCACTACTCACGGGTCAGAGATCAATGCATACGGGCACGTGGCTGACGGACGTCGGCCAGATGTTACTGGTGACAGCCCACCGGCCACGGGTCAGACGTCACCAGAAACGGGTAAGAGGTTCGTAACCACCGGTCAGAGGTCACCAGCTACAGGCCAGCAGTCAGCGAGGATCGGCCCGTCAATGTACATAGGTCAGAGGTCACGCACCACGGTTCGAGGTCACTGGGCACAGTCAGAGGCCAGAAGCGGAATAGCTCCGTCAGTAGAAACAGCATCAAACTGCGCAACAGGGCGTGACGCTACAACAATATACAGCTGGCGCAGCAGGAGCTGACGCTTGCGAAAAGCTGCACCGAACCCACAAACACGTAGGTGAGCCATTAGCGCCTGGCCGCCGACGAGCGGTTGGTCGGGTATACACGTGGGATGTACCCGGAGACACAGGGCTGAGGCCGGGCCACCGCCCGCCGGCCGACAAGCCCCGCCGCCAGCGCTCGCGAACCCGCCCAATCTCCGCAGCAGCGCCGGTCCGGCGTCACCTGCTGACCCCGTGACCACCCGTCCCCCCCGCGCTCGGGGCGGCGCCTCACCTGCAGGGGAAGTCGGCCTGGCCGTTCAGGTTCCTGCCCAGCACTGTGCCGACCAGGGTCAGCGGCAGAATGACGAACAGGCAGATACAGGCCACCGCCAGCTGCCGGCGAACACGGTGGCGGGGTCAGAACACAGCGGCAGAGGTCAGGACAGGGTGCTTAACAGATACAGGCCACCGCCAGCTGCCGGCGGACACGGTGGCGGAGTCAGAACACAGCGGCAGAGGTCAGGACAAGGTGACTAACAGGTTGTCATGGATGAACATGCAAGTTCACGATATGGCCGACAGTCGAACGGTACAGCAACAGTCTGAGTGGGCAAAATAGCACTGCCGCCATGTTGAAAAGGGGAGAGCAATACCACTATCTACAGTGATACCCAGCAGCCTCGCAGCTTATTCCCAACGCCAACGTGTCCTGACTATACAATCTCATTCATGTCTTGATCACGCCACACGTCACAGAGCGCATTGAAGTAGTCACACGATGCGTGGCCCCACCGAATACTGAGCACGAGCCCAGCATTGCACACATGATGTACAACACGATACCATGGTGACGAATGAACGGCACAAGGGGCGTGACAGCGCGTTGCCATGAAGACAGAGGACGCGGCGCGGCCTGACGTGCTGGCCCGTTACCACGGCGGACGAGAGAGAGAGAGGGAGTGTTGCCTACACACAGCGCGGCATAGCGCTGGCAGGATGAAGAAAGGGACGGCCCGGCTGACACGGCAACACGTTACCATGGTGACGAAGGGGATGGCCCGGCTGGCGTGGTAGTAGAGCGCGATGAAGTTGATGAGGAAGGCGGTGCCGCAGACCAGGGCGGGCAGCAGCGCCGCCGACACTGCCATCTGGCGGATCCAGATCTGAAACAGCGCGGGCGGGCCCGGTCACAGCCGGCCGCGGCAGCAGCTGGCGTTGTTACACATTCGTGGCTGTCCCGGGAGGCATATCACCAGCACGCTACTTCCTGGACACCCGCATGCACCCAACTCCAGTTGGTAAGTAGAGTGCTCACCTGGCCCGTTCCACTGCACGTCGGACACTAACACAATGCTCACTCACGTGCTCACCTAATGAGAGCGCGCGCACGCCGTGTGCTCGCCACGACACGGCCTGGGAACACACCAGCAGGCACACCCTCCTGAGGGCAGATCAGCTGCAGCGCCCGCCCTACCATGTGTTCAAGCCAAACAGGCATCGCTCACGTCACCATGTATCTGAGCTGAAAGTACATGTACTGAGGACATGCCAGTGAAACCTTCATTTGCAAGTCAAACCTAGCCCTGAAAGAGGATTATCGACTCGACACGTACTCGTGGTCTGCAAACAATTCCTCCTGAATTTCTCTTCCTTTTTTCTTCCCACTGGTTCTCACTTCAGCACATACCCTGGACACGTGAGCAATGTGGTCTCACCACGCACATACTCTATAGGTAAGCAAGGTAAGCGGCGTGGTGTCACGTTACCCCTCGCGCGGAGCATCTAAGCTGGGCAAGCCGTGTGTTCTCACTTCGCCGTGCGTTCTCACCACTGCCTCGCGACCCCGGGCGAACAGCCGCCTGTGTCCACCTCGCCACCCACGCGAGCGTACAGCTGCGTGTGTCCACCTCGCCACTCATGCGGGTGTTCAGCCGCGTGGCGAGTGCCCACCTTGTCGCCCATGCGGGCGCCCCGCCGCGTGCGCCCACCTCGCCACCCATGCGGCCGTACCTTGCCGCCCATGCGGGCGTACAGGCCGCCGCCGAAGTACCCGTTGACAGGGCTGGTGGCGGCGTACACGAAGATGGCCGTGCTCAGCAGACTGCCTCGCTCCGTGTACAGCTCGCCGATGATGGCGATCAGCACCACCAGCAGCACCACGGCCGCCACCTGCCGCAGACGGGACGCAGGTCAGGTCAGGTCAGGTCAGGAACATGGCACTTGTTGCCAGTGTGTGGTCAGGTCAGTGTGTGAAAGTAGCAGGGTAGCGCAGGGCAGCACAGTAAGTGAGAAGGTGGAAGACAGGACAGGACAGAAAGGCACAGGAGATACAATGCATGTCAGGTCAGGTCAGAGCAGGTACAGGTCAACAGAAGCTGGAAACTTCGAGTATGGCCCACAAGCTGGGCAGACTAAAAACCCAGACTGTGGAGTGCAGACCGAGCACAGACTACGGACAGCAGACTGAGCACGGCCTGGCAGAACCGGACAGCAGACGGGCGGCTCCACCTAACGCACCTGCAGACGGACACGGCACGCCACGCCGGCGGGGCGCAGTCCCCAAAACACGGCTGGAACAGCGGTACCGGCGGCCAGAGCAGCCCCGCCCGGCCGGGTGTGGCACACCTCGACACCACCGGGGCGGGCGTGCCTGCCTCCGACTGAAGAGCGGCTCCAGCTCGGCGGCCGGCTCCTGCTGACCGTACCTGGCAGCCGGTGCCGATCAGCGCCGAGAAAATGATGGGGTGGCTGGCCGGGCGGAAGACGTCGCCGTGCACCTGCTTCCAGCCATACTCGTCCCCGAGATCACGCTCCTGCGGCCGGCCGTCCGGAACAGGTCAGATGGTGCCGGCCACAGGTCACGGGGCGCCGGTCACAGCTCAGAGGGGTCGCCGGTCACAGCTCAGAGGGGTCGCCGGTCACAGGTCACAGGGCGTCGGTCCCAGATCAGAGGCCGCCGGTTCGACGCGAGCGCCACCGGGGTCAGACAATCGGGAGGGCGCAATCTACGCTGCCAGGTCAACGCTACCACCCTCACCAGCTGTATTCATTGCATACGCCGTATGCATTATCACGCCCCACAGGGAGCTGTAGCAGCTGTGCCCACCAAGCCCGCCACGGCACCGCACCACCACCCTCCCAGTGGCGGCAGATCCCCGGTCCGCGTGACCACGAGACCGTCCATGTCTACTGTCTCTTTCCTTTCGATGTGATTCGAATACGTGTGTGATGCACTCATGTTCTGTCTCCGGCGACTGGGGCGGGCAGAGCGGTCTGGCCAGGCTCCTGAGGGTTAGCCAAGTCCAGCTGCTCACCCTTCTGTTCCAGTCACCCTCCACCCCCTGTTTCAGCTACCCTCCACCCCTCTGTTCCAGTCGCCCTCCACCCCTCTATTCCAGTCACCCTCCACCCCCTGTTTCAGCTACCCTCCACCCCTCTGTTCCAGCCACCCTCCACCCCTCTATTCCAGTCGCCCCATCCACCCCTCTATTCCAGTCACCCTCCACCCCCTGTTCCAGTCAGCCTCCACCCCCTGTTTCAGCTACCCTCCCGTCAGCCGTCTGCCCCTCACCACGTCGTCCATCTCCTCGTCCCTGCTGTAGCGCTGGTAGTCCTTCTTCAGCGTTCGCATCAGGATCATGGACACAAGGCCCACCAGGAAGATCACCATCATGAAGCTGTTGAATATGCTGAACCAGTGGATCTGCCGCATACCGAAAAGCCAGGGCTGTCAGATTCCCGCACCCAACAGGAAAAGCTACCGAATGCAACCACAGGGAAACAAAAATGGGGTGTACAGGAACAACACAGTATGAAGGCCGTAAATCGCTACAATGCCGCCATTCAGTGCATCAATACGGGCTATAATGTGCCACAAAACAGTGACCAATCAGAAGGTAACCAACCAAAAGAGAGCCAAATACCAAATACAATGAGCAGCAACAAGACCAGAGTTTCGAAACGCTTAGGCCACGGGCTCTATTGGCTCCTTCATCAGGAAACAGGATGACTCACCCGGTGTTGGAAAAAGCTGGGATCCAGGTACTTGTCGAATCTGTCCTCGAACTTGACGGCAGACTTCTTCCACACGACTTCGTACGTCAAAGGTATCTTAGCGCCCAGGGTCAATTTCACCTACAAAACAGAAACAATCGTAACTTCTCATGCATCACTGCTGCCGCAACTCATCACAAGCCAACTACAACGCCCATGGAATGCCGACAAATACTTATTTATTTTAGTATTTCTCAAATACAAGTACTATTATTATATTTCTCAGACGACTCCCAGGGGCACGATGATACGGTTGGCGGGCGCCGTTGTCAGTCCTGGCGCCCCGCCTCGGTCAGCAACACGACAATACCACGTGTCGACGCATCATCAAGCCACCTTCACCCCCGCCTGAACCGGAGACCGGCAGTGGAACAGGATGGCCAGCCGCACCACCGCCGCCGCGACGGGGAACAACTCGTACACGGACCACATCTACAGCTGTCTCCTCAACCGCAACGCGAGGGCATGATGGACATCAGACATGCCGGACGGCGGCAGACATAGTGTGCATGCGTGCGCCCCTCAGCCCCTCACATCTCAGCTAGGTGAGACCTGCTTACTCATGCCGGACGGCGGCAGACATGGTGTGTGCATGTGTGCGCCGCTCAGCCCCTCACATCTGAGCTAGGTGAGACCTGACCTGGACTGACCAGGTGCGCTTCGTGATACCTGACCTGGCCTAACTGGGTGAATCCGGTGATGCCTATCCTGGCCTGACTGGGTGGATCAGGTGAGACCTAACCGGGCCTAGCTTGTAGGACCTAACCTGACCGGGTGTGTCAGGTGATACCTGACCTGACCTGAATGGATGTACCAGGTGATACCTGACCTGGCCTGATAGGGTGTCAGGTGAGACCTGGCCTGACCTGACCAGGCACCACCATGTCCTACCTTCGCCTCGGACGTCAGGTTGACGTCCACGATCATGCCGTCGTTGACGCCGATGTCGAAGCGCTTGTGGGTCCACAGGTACTCTCCATCCTCGTCCGACTGGAGGGCAGACGCGCGTCACGTGGGCCGGCCCGCGGCTCAACACCCAGCGGCACACACACGTCCGACCGGGGGCAGAGCGTGGGCAACTATGGCGGCACTTGGGGAGGCGTCCAATGTGCAACACACCCCGGCCCCAGTACTGGCCAACGGAGGGCATCATGATGTGAAGAGCGTCCCGACACACGGACATATGGCGCATCGGCCAATTGTATCTCGACGCTCGACAGCATCGAGCGTATCCCTCGGACCCGTGCGAACCCCTCCGGCCCACAGCTCCGCTCCGTCCCTGCCGACCCCTGACGCCGATCCATGACCTGACCGGCGCAGCGCGCTGCTCTGACTGACCTCTCCGATGATGCCCCAGATGGGCAGGTCGTCGATGTACATTTGGTACCAGTAGTGGTTTCGTACGGCATACCGGAAGGCGGCCAGGCCCTCTTCGTCCAGCGCGATCTGACAGTACGTCTCCTTCGGCTGGTTGGCTGCAACGGAGAGCTGGGGTCAGCACAGCACCGGGGCTGCACCCAACCACGGACCACTGATCACACAACGACGGACCGGGGTCAGCACAGCACCGGGGCTGCACCCAACCACGGACCACTGATCACACAACGACGGGCCGGGGTCAGCACAGCACCGGGGCTGCACCCAACCACAGGTCACGTGTCACACCACCACGGTCGTTGTCACGGCGCGACGACCTTGGGCCAAGCCGGGGGACACTCTAGGTGAGCGCGCCGGACAGAGCACAGGGCATCAGGCCCCATCAGGCCCCTGACCTGAAGTGGCGCTTCTGGTGGCTAACAGCAAAATCCAGACGTATTGTGCCGAGCTGCACCTTTAAGGCAGTATACGTACCCCGACGTCAAAACATCGGGTTGGAACCTGACGGACAATCACACGAAATAAGACCGGGCGATAACTTCTAAGGTGGCTCAAGATGTGACGGGTTACATCATAGACTTCTCCACTACGATACATTGAGGCCTGTGCTAATAGCCGAGCACCTCAAAGTGGCTGTCAGTGTAATCAATCTAGCCCACAAGGCCACGGTTAAGTTTCTGCGTACTTTGTGAGACCACAAATCAGTGAGCCACGTGGTGCGGCTGGTCCCAAAATTGTCGTCATCTTAAGCAGCTGGTGAAATGAAGAAAAAAGCGCGGCAAATCGTGGCTGAGCAAACATGCTTAGGCCTCTAAATTTCCAGGAGTTTGCGCACTGAGCCAACGGTGTTTCATCCCAGGCATACATCGCAACGCCCTCGAAGATGCCCCGCCCTCCTCCCCCCCCCCCCTGGCTGGTACGACGACCGGTCAAAGCTCGCGTCACCCGCCCAGCCAAGCGCCGGTGTCGCACGCTACCCTGGTGATCGTCTGATGACGGCTTCCAGTCCCGCTGGTCTGTGTCCTCGACTCTTTCTCCCGACACCGCGTGGCCAGGACAGAGCTTCCCGACTGACACAAGCCAGGTGCCCGGCACGAGCTCTCGAACTGACACACGCCAGGAGCATGCTGACGGATCGTGCGCAGAGAGACGGACGGCGGTGGCCTCCTCAGGTTCGGGCTCACAGATCGCAGCCACCGCTCGGCGATCTCGCGCCATTACGTAACTTGATTCGCGCGTTCGACGGCAGCCGCGCTGTTGCCGCCCGCTTCGCGCAGCGCCCAGCTTCAGTCGGCTATTTACAACACGAGGGCCGGTGCTCCGGCCCAGTTTGCCACATCTCAAGGATTCGCGGACACGACTTTAGCATCCCACGGTGTCCTACAGTATGCTACGGTATACCGCACCCTATAACATGTCAAAGTAGTCAACGTTGTGTACCACAGGAACCATGCACGAACGTCATCATTCAGCGCTACACTGTGAGACGGCCGACGATGCAATGATTGGGCTGGCTTTTATCATCGCGCCTGCCGCCATCCATTGTACGGGAGTGTCCTGGCCGGCGGCTGTTTATACAGAGCCGGGCCGGCGTGACCAGCCGGGCGTCAGGCGGCATCGGACGGGAGCCGCACGGGCCGCCCGGGCGGCGGGCGGGTGTCGGCCCCGGCGCCCGGCGACACCGCTGCTCGGCGGCGAGCTGCACGAGCCGACCGCGGCCGGCCCGGCGGCAGGCGGAGACTCGGCCGGGTCGCCAGGGGCAGGACACGGGCAGGACGGCCAGTGGAGCCCGCGGCTCAGTCTCCACATGACAAAATGGTGCTCACCGACCGTCTCCCACAGAAAGCGCGGGCAAGTTGTGTCCAGGAGGCGAGAAGGTGACCTTCCTGTTCACAACATCCCAGCATCTGCCACGTATTGTGAAGCTGGGAACGTCGACCATCCGACAAATATTGGCGTCTGGGATTGTCCTATATATATATATATATATATATATATATATATATATATATATATATATATACACACATATATATATATATATATATATATATATATATATATATATACATATCACGGGAGACCACTTCCAACACGGACAGTGCAGTGGAAACCTCAGCCCATAAGTCTGACACGAATCAACACCGGTATGCTTGTATTGCTTGACAAGGACGGATCGTGTACTTCAACTCATAAGGCTATTGGGAACAGGGAAAACCAATGCGACCCGATTCCACGAAGGCCGGAAGAATTTCTGTTCAGTCCAGCCTTTCCTTCATTTCATGAACAGTGCCGACCTCGTCTTCTGACGTACGTCCGGCGTTCTCGCTATCGACGTATTTCAGTTGAAGTTAATAGAAACTTAATGAGACGGAAAGCTCTAATAACATCAAGACCTGCAATCCTATCAAAACTCGACTCACAATGATCGTCATCCAACGATTTTAAACAATATTGTTCTGTACTTGCCTTACACCTTACTGAAACGTATCTGCCGAACCAAGAGGGTCACAACAAGGAGCACCAGTGCGATGCCTTCAGGTCACAGGTGTTCTGGGGCGCCCGTCACAAGACGTGTGTCACAACACCGTAGTCGACAGCTCAGGAGCACAAAGACAGTCGGGCCGGTACGTATGTAACCCTACGGGATTCACCTTAGGTGTATTTTTTCTAACGAAACCATTGGAATGGTAATGCACTTCGTGCCTATTGCATTGGATTTCTTCCTAAGACGCGATTATTGTGAAAACAGGCTTCGCAAGGCTGAATACCTATTGCAAACGCATGTTGGCAAATCCCGTTTATTCTAAGTCGTTCGGTCTGATGCGAAAGCTGTGTGCTGTGATGAAAAATAGAGCGCACTCGTGCGAACTACGCACGTGCGCCGTCACAAACTAGAGCGTCGTGACGCGTGCTGGCTGTTTCTTCCTCCTGCCCAAAATGTCCGTAGAAACAGCACTGGGCCTCACTTGCATGCAGCCACAGAATATCATGGCGTGGTTTAAACGGACGACTTGGTTCATGGTAGTGCTCGTTAGCCCTGAAGCTCATTAGACGTAACCGAGACTGACCGGCCGACCAAACCGCACGCCTTCGTCGACCGTGGCGCGCGGCCCCGGGACAGCTCAGGGCTCATGTCACAGCAGCCGTACCCTCAGCGGGAGGCCATGCACTGCCGAACCGCCGGCCCGCTCGCCTTCCACACGCGGTGTGCCGGACTCCGCGGACGCGGCCGACATCCGCCACGTCGCGGCTTCTCAGCGGCGGACGCCGTCGCACTGTATACACTGGCGAGCTCCCGGCGACCCGGCCAAGTCACAGCGCGACATGAGAAGGCCGACAGCCGCAGGGACGGACCTGACGAGTGTTTCCGAGGGATGATGGTGGCCCGAGTCCCCAACAATGGGTTGCCATCACACATCTGCATCTCACATCACACATCTGCGCGTGCTGAACAATACAGAGCAGCGCACGGCGAAAGATCAACCGCGTTACGCGGCCGTCTGTACCATTAGATGCCGAATTCCTCCACCTGCGGTCCAGACCAACAAACCCGCGGCAAGGCAGCTCGACGTCGAACTACATCGCCGACTTCTTCGCTGTCTTAGGGTCAGCTGCACAGCCGCTGTACATAACCACGGCCCCACCGGGCGACAACGGCGGCCAAGCCACAGCCCCGCCCTTGACGCTGGCACGTGCTGGGCGTGCCTGCCCGCACGACAAAAGCCAGTGTCGTATCAAGGCTGTATCGTACCGGGGCCGAGCGCCTGAGGGCGTTTACGTTTGGCGCCGACCCCCGGCGCTTAAGTTTGGGGGGAGGGGGAAGAGAAGCTGCCAGGGAGGCAGTGACGCGTCGTTGTCCCCGCCAATAGCCGGCCGCCACCGCCGCCACCAATAGCCGGCCACCGCCGCCGCCGCCGCCGCCGTGGTCTGGCAGAGCCGCCGTGTACACACCACACGTGCACACCCACCACCACTGGTGCGGCGCCCGCCAGATCCAGCAGCCAGTCCCTGTCCCGCCGCCAGCCCATCTGCCAGAGCTCCTGGCCGTCCGGCGCCGCCGCCCGGTCCGGTCCCAGGACGCGTCCCAGCGCAGCAGCTCGCGCCCGAACCTCGCGGCCCGACCCAGTTCACCAGCCCTCGGAGTCCAGCAGCCCTCTGGAGTCCAGCGGTCCGGACGGGACTCACAGCTGGACAACATGGCCGCCAACGAGAGCGCGTCGCAGCAGTTTCTGGATGACAACCAGTACACGCGCAATGGTATACTGCGCTACGAGCGCATCTTCGGCGACACGTACGTCAGTACCGGAGGACAACGGACGACCGAGGTGAGATGGCAGCGCAAGGAGGGAAGGAGGGATGGGGGGAGGGAGGGAGGGAGGGATGGGGGAGGGGGATGGAGGGAGGGATGGGGAGGGGGAGGAAGCGCGCGCCATCAAGGGGAGATCGCGGCAAACGCTGCTGGGCCGTCGAATAACGTTAGCCTACGACGCAGCTGAAATCAGTCATCATCCCTCTCTGAACGTCAACCAAGACCCTCGACCAAATAAATACATGGTGCGCTCACCCCGCGGCATACAGTCTCAAACCTGGCTCGAGTACTCGTTTCAACGGGCTTCGTTCACGCTGTTCATGTTCTGATGGGGAGCTGCCTTGCACAAAGTGTTCGAGCTCCGCTGCTGTCTCCAGTAGCGACGCCGCGATCATTTATTTATTATGCACACAGTCGGCTGAGCCCCTGCCAGTCTGTCGCTCATGTCCCGGCCTGAACCAGTAGCCGCACATAACCCCCGGTCCGCCGCCGCTCCGCAGAAGTTCTGCGGCCGGCTGCGTCTGACGCCAGGCGCGCGCGTGCTGGACGTGGGCGCCGGCACCGGCGGCTCGGCTTTCTACATGGCGCGCCAGTTCAGATGCCACGTGGTCGGGGTCGACCTCTCGCGCAACATGATGGAAATCGCCGAGGAGCGGCGCTGCGCGCTGCCCGAACAGGTGACCAACGTCGCGTGTGTGACCTCAGGACACCCCGGGGCGACCACGTGTCACCTCGGGGAAAACCCGCAACGACCGCGTGCGTGACCTCTGGGAAACCCCACGGCAACCGTGTGTGACCTCGGGGGACAACCCAAGGCGACCATGTCAGACCTCGGAGAAACCCCGCGGCGACCGTGTGTGACCTCGCGGACGCCCCACGAGGGTCGTTAGCATAAGTCCCCATCCGTCGGTGGAGTGGACGCTGGGGCCGGCCGGCAGCCATCTCGGCTCGAGCTCACGAGCACCCCATGTTACCCGCTGTATCGTTCGCACACTGAGGTCCGTTTCAGGACTCCGATCCAGCCGTGCAGGTTTCGGCAGCTCTCACAGTTTGAGGGATCGTGAGGGGGGTCTGAGACCGTTCCCCGTCCGCCTGGACCTGACTGCGCCTCGCTATCCCATCCGACGCACCGTGTGACCTCTGCCTACTGCTGACCTCCATGCACAAACCCTGTGTCAACCCTGGTGATCTCCCCTGACCCATGCAGACCGTCCTCGTCTCCATGCCGTAACCCTGACTCGCTAATCGGACTTGGACTACGACTCGGACTCGGACCCGGACTCGGATCCCTGACTCGAATCTTGCCGTCCTCCACCTGCCTTGTCCCTTGATCCGTATTCACCGTCACCTTCCATACTATCACCTAACCACATGTTAACCCCGTGTCGACCATCCCACCATATAAGCACCCCTGCTCAACCGAGCCGCCGCCGGACCCGGAGCTGACCTCGCACTGACCCGGTGCGCCCCTTGATCCCGCACTGGCCCGGCGCGTCCTCTTGACCTTGTACTGACCCCGTAAGCCCCCTTAAGCCCACGCTGAACCGGTGAGCCCCCTTGACCCCGCACTGACCCGAAGTGCCCCCTGACCCTGCGCTGACCCGGTGCATCCCCTTGACCCCGTACTGACCCGGTGCGCCCCCTTGACTCCGCGCTGACCCGGTGCGCCCCGCCCCACGGCAGCTGCGGTCGCGGCTGGAGTTCCAGATCGCCGACGTGACGGAGGCCGAGTACGAGCCGGAGTCGTTTGACGTCGTCTACAGCCGGGACACGGTGCTCCACATCGCCGACAAGCGCGCCCTGTACGGCCGCTGCCTGCGCTGGCTGCGGCCCGGCGGCCAGCTGCTCGTGTCCGACTACTGCCAGGGCGAGGGCCCGCTGAGCGACGAGTTCGTCCGGTACCGCCAGCAGAGAGGTGAGGTGCAGACCGCCAGCAGCGGCGAGGAGCGCCTCAGCCGTGACTGGTGGTCACAGCTGCTAGCCTGAGAGCAGAGGTGAGGCGCAGACCGCCAGCAGCGGCGATGAGGAGCGCCTCAGCCGTGACTGGTGGTGACAGCTGCTGGTCTGAGAGCAGAGGTGAGGCGCAGACCACCAGCGCCGGCGAGGAGGAGTGCCTCAGCCGTGACTGGTGGTCACAGCTGCTGGTCTGAGAGCAGAGGTGAGGCGCAGACCGCCAGCAGCGGCGAGGAGGAGTGCCTCAGCCGTGACTGGTGGTCACAGCTGCTGGTCTGAGAGCAGAGGTGAGGCGCAGACCGCCAGCAGCGGCGAGGAGGAGTGCCTCAGCCGTGACTGGTGGTCACAGCTGCTGGTCTGAGAGCAGAGGTGAGGTGCAGACCGCCAGCAGCGGCGATGAGGAGTGCCTCAGCTGTGACTGGTGGTCACAGCTGCTGGTCTGAGAGCAGAGGTGAGGCGCAGACCGCCAGCGGCGGCGAGGAGGAGCGCCTCAGCCGTGACTGGTGGTCACAGCTGCTGGTCTGAGAGCGGAGGTGAGGCGCAGACCGCCAGCAGCGGCGGCGAGGAGCGCCTCAGCCGTGACTGGTGGTCACAGCTGCTGGTCTGAGAGCAGAGGTGAGGCGCAGACCGCCAGCAGCGGCGGCGAGGAGCGCCTCAGCCGTGACTGGTGGTCACAGCTGCTAGCCTGAGACTGCTATCCGGGCGCAGGCCAGCTCGGCAGCAAGATCGTACAGGACTGGCGGCAGAGGGGTGGCGACAGGGGACGGAGGGAGCGGTGCAGTGGTGGCTGGTGATCTGTGGTGCCGCAGTGATAGCTCAGGTCGCAGTCCACCATCCACTTTCCACTATCTCTCGATCTTCTAGCCTCCGACGTCGGCCTCACTGACCAGCGGCATACTCCAGCCAATACGGCGCCTGACGCTGCGCCTCCGGCTGAGACCCGCCCGCCCTCCACGCTCCAGGCTACCACCTGCTGACCGTGACACAGTACGGCGACTGCCTGCGATCGGCCGGCTTCCAGCAGGTGGAGGCCATCGACAACTCGGCCTACTACCTGGAGATCCTGCAGGACGAGCTGACCAGGTTCAAGCAGCAGCGCGCCGACTTCCTCGAGGTGAGGACGCCCACACAATCTGACTGAGCGACAGCGGTGGTGTGCCAACAAGCCACTAACCCTGCATTCATGCCGCGATGGTAATGGACAACTCAAACAACTCCAAATTCATGCTATCTGCAAACCCATTGCCAGGTCGAGGTGCCCCTGGCAGCAGAGCATGAGTCTGCCGCGCTGGACCCGCCTCGCTAGCGGCTCTCCAAGCCGTCATCCGGCCTCCAATGACTGCGACGCCGCTCACCCGACTAAAAGCGCTGCCTACTCACCTGTCAGCGAGTGGGCCGGCGCCATGAACCCCAATCGGGCTCGCACCATCCCAAATCCGTGTGGATTCGGCTTCGGCCGGCGGCCTACCCAGCCCGGCTGCCGCGTGACGACAGCCCGCCCCGCCGTGGCGCGTCCCCCAGCCCCGCCCCGCTGTGGAGCGTCCCCCAACCCGGCCCCACTGTGGCGCGTCCCCCAGCCTCGCCCCAATGTCGGCAGTCCCTGTGACCCGCTGTGTGTGGCCGTTGCAGACGTTCAGCCAGAAGGACTACGACGACATTGTCGGCGGCTGGGAGGCCGAAGCTGAGGCGCGTGTCCGAGGGCAGCCAGGTGTGGGGCCTCTTCCAGGCCCACAGGCCGGCCTGCTGACGTGTCCGAGGGCAGCCAGGTGTGGGGCCTCTTCCAGGCCCGCAGGCCGGCCTGCTGACGTGTCCGAGGGCAGCCAGGTGTGGGGCCTCTTCCAGGCCCACAGGCCGGCCTGCTGACGTGTCCGAGGGCAGCCAGGTGTGGGGCCTCTTCCAGGCCCGCAGGCCGGCCTGCTGACGACTGGCACCCGATGGCGGTCACCGATGGCGGCCAGCACCGGGCGGGTTCCCAATAGCTGGTGCCGGCTGGCCGGCGAGCCGTGGCCAGTGCGCCCGCCGCCGGCCGCCGGCCGACATCTGCTAGCCATCGGAGCTGCTCGCCACGAGCGGCGGCGGGCGGAGCACTGGCAGCGACAATACACAGAATACATTATTTTGAGGGGTGCTGAGAACTTTTATTTTGGTGTAGATGAGTACGAAAACAGCCATTGTGTTTTCAAAAAGCAATTTAGCTTTCCGCTTTCTATCTGAAAATTTGCCGATTTTGGTCGTTATTATCTTCCGGTGAATGTTAGCGCTTTTATTTTGCTTAAGTTGCGGGGAAATGATTCTACCGCAAAATTAAGGCCACCTTTGAAAAGCTAAGACCGTAATCTTCTCAATCATGTCCCAACTTCTTTACAAACATTGCATACTGTGTCTGTTGAGAACAAGAATGCCCACATCTTTCTTTGGGTGGGGGCGGGGGGATAGGAGTGGGACGGGAACTACATGACAGCTTTCGTATTCACCGAAAAACACCCAGCTCCCCAGAAAACCACGTTAAGCCCGTTTCGCCACCACATACCGAACAGTGCCCGACCCCTAGTGGTCGGTAAAGGCCCGGCAACCGCCGATAATGCTGTCGGATGTCGCATTGTCAATACAAGGATGTCGGTGTCCAGAGGTCTGTTGAACATCACTGACGTGCGACGATTTCGAAGACAAAGGCGGAGCGGAATGAACTACCTATGGGGAAGAGACCTAGTGACCCCGAAGCCCCAGCAAAGATCACGGACAGTGTCTCGACCCAAGACAGACGTCCACCGACCGCAACGTGACCTCGGCAGCTCCAACACGAAATCGAACATCTTCATCTCCGAGACATGACGTCCGGAGAGCGACACACGGCCGTGTCCATCCCAGATGTGAGGCCAGTGGAGCGACACACGCTCACACGGCCGTGTCCATCGCAGACGTGAAACCAGTGGGACGTCACAGGCTCACATGGTCGTGTCCAGGCCGTGTTCATCACAGACGTGAGACCCAGCTGAGCGGGACTCCCGACGACCTAGGTGTTGTCCGTGAATGGTCGGCGGCCCGCCCGCCAGGTGACCACGAGGTCAGGCGGCCCGACGGCCCAGTGCCCCAGGGAAATGGGTCCAGGCTCATCAAGACACACCAATTGTTCAGGCCCGAGTCGCCAGCTTGTGGAATCTTGCCGCAAGTTTCTATATGTGCCACTACTTTCACTGAAACACGCTTATCAAGCTACTTGGCCAACTTTGTCGCCACCCCAGTGGTGTTCTGCATCAACAAACAAATGGCATATTCATGAATATTGCAGCCCCCAATGCACCTGAGAAAAGCAAATAAGGTACCCTGTAGCGCCGCGGACACGAGGCCCATACCAGACGCAGCACAGCCTAAGAAGCGACGTCCCGAAACCCAAACCCGAATCCGAACACGGCCCCGAAAGTCGAAATTCGAGCGGAAAATCTGATCTGATCCGAATCCTCCATCGCCCTGCCTCCTCTGGCGACCATGCATGGAGCACATGACGCGGCGAAAACGACAGCAGCTGTGTCAGCTTCCACACAAATTTGCGTGCTTTTCGCATCCCTACCACTTCAGGATGCTCCTTCCCGCACCTTCGCGAGATCCCCTCCGTCCCTCCCTTTTGACATTCTCGGCTGGTGCCGACCCCAGTCATACTCACAGTTGAACTGAATGTCGAGCCCGCTGAACTCCAGCTCGACGCCCTGCAGCGCCTCTCCCAGCGTCTCGTGATAGTGGCTGATTCCCGCCTTGTTGCCTTTGCAGAAGGGTAGCGAGAAGTAGCTGTAGGTCTCCTGGCGGTTGTGGTACGGGCCCACGGTGTTCATCCATAGCACCACCTCCTCGCCCGAGTCGTACTGCAACAGTGGGAGACGCCGCGACTCAGGCTGATGCTGGGGACGCGCTGGCCTCTGGTGATGGGCAGAGCATCAGAACCGCCTCCAACACTCCCACCACACCAGCTCCGAAAGCAGGGCTTGGAGCTGCTGTGGTGCTGGGCAGCATCTGGTGGTGCTGCCCCAAGCTCTTGCTTCTCACAGTAGTGCAAGGGGTCTCATAGAGCTAACCATAGCTCTTGTTAGGCAGGCACTGGAGTGTGGTGGCACACTACATCTCAGAGACATCTAATGCTTGAAAGCACCTGTGGAACTAGATGACAATGAAAGACTGGTTAAAAATTCCCTGGTGATGTCTGTTCAAAGAGATCATCCCCAAAACATGTAATTACAGAAAGGCATTTTGCAACCAGACACAATAACAACATTCTGCCACCACTCAAATAAAAAACTGTCTACATTTTGATATGTGCAAAACTCACAGGCCTCTTTCTAGTATATACCAGGCAACATCATTGGGATATTAGAATGTTTAAGGTGCATGGTCACATGGCGCTTAAAGCCCATCACATGCCACACAGCACGAAAACAATAGCAGTCATATTTATCAAATGCCTCCAAATGACATGTGTATAATATTCTACATGAATCATTATATAACATTGATAAAACATAGCATTGCCAATCATCAGCAAAACATTGAAATCAATGCATAGTGGGTTGCTTGTGGAAGACCACAGACAGCTGGAATAACAGTCAGTGAAGCAGCTCTGAAAAAGAACAGGGCCCAATGACAAAGTAGGCCCCTCCAGCTAAAAATACCCCAGCCCCATGTCCCAATTTGGCCCTCTACTTGCTGAAATTCTCTATTATGCCAATGGGTTGTCCTGTTTAGAAACAACTGCAAATGGCAGACACACCATTTTCAGTACTGAAATTTGACCAGTAAATATTAGGATCAAAGTGTCAATGTAATATAATGGGGTCCTACCTATTGCCTTCTCTGTAACTATAAAAAACCATCCAATGCACCACCCTGCCTGTGGGGCATAAGTGAGCTAAACCTTATTTTTGTCTGCTTAACTCAAGCCTAGCCAGATTGCTCTAAAACTTTAGCATTATTCAAGCATGCGAATTTGGGAGTGTTGTTTAAAATGGTTTTTGCACAATCTTAAAGCAATGAATGATTGCCTCTCTATGACCTTGAATTGGTGGTGAAAAAAAACACACAAAAAAACACCAAACTTGGAGCACTCAGAGGACCATGCACATGTACTGAAACTGTCACTGCAATGCTGCTGCTATGCGGAGCATGTTCAGTGTAACATTTATTTTTTGCACTCTGACATATGGTTCCTTTAAGTGTAAAAATAAATAAGTAGTATACTTCACTGTGTAACACATCTTTTTGTACACATACTGTCAGAGCTTGCAAGTAGAATTCTGCTCAGCAAAGTATGTATTTGATCCAGCAATACACAATATTCTTTAAAAATCACAACACACTAGAAAAATGGCAGGTGCTCCCAATTCATTGATGCATGCATGCATCCCTGGAATGCAATTAGGATGGGTTGGCGATTCAACAGTCCTCAGTTGCTGTGGAGCAATTCCCATAGGATATCACATGATGGGAGCATTTGTTGGCCAAATAAATATGTAAGGCTTAATTGGACTAAATGTTAAGAGTTTTGCAAACACACTCCAATCAGTTACAGAAAACACAGACACAATAACCACATGTATAGTATGGACATTGCACAGCGCAGCACCCACGTAGACTGCCAATGCTTGGGAACCAGCTATCTTACCTTATGGTCATGTTCATCGCCGGTACACACAGCCAACGATAAAGTGACTATTAAAACCTTTCTAAAAAATGAATCCATGTTTTAAATGAACGAAAACACAGTTTGGTTTACAGAGAACACACTCGGCCCCTCCTGAATGCTGATTTACTGCCTTTTCATTATTCGGGGTCACCAACACCAAAATCAGAATATCAGTCTCCAATAATGCGTCTTCGTGGCCTTGCCGTCGTGTACAACCATTGGTTTGTATTTGTGCTCCAGATATGCCGCACTTCGTTGTTTGCGTCAGCTAGTCTGATAGTATATAACTTTGAGGTATTTGATCAAATATGTGAGTATAGGCGCTATCATGGAGCGGTAAGGGTAAGTTATTAGTCCAATTGATTATTTTAACGCATCTGTCAAGTGGTTCAAGCGTTTTTATTTGGCTGCGTAATCACTGGCGTTGATATATCTAGAAGAAAATGCAGACCAGTCAGTATATTCTAGGATGGCATTCCCATTCCAGGGTTATGTATATCTATGGCGCTTTCAGTCTTGCTCTAAGCAATAAAGTCGTATATAGTGCCGACTTTTTTAGTTATATGCACTGCTTAAATTCTCCCCTTTAAAAATTTGCTTAGAAGTACGTCATTGAAATCCAACCACTGAGCAGCGACCCTCCCGACAAGGCATTCGAAACATAAAGCAAATATTGCGAAGAGCGATAGCACGGACCCAGGTCCGCCGAAGACACCAACAAACACTGGAGAGATCCACCTGGTATGCTCCACAGTCCAGGAGCTATCCTCAACAGCCGCAAGTTCCCAAAACATCCCGGGGAGCAGAAAGCACAAGGCGCGATCAGACCGTTTTGGTGCTGTAGGCCCGCACATTGACAGCCTATCTTGACGTGCAGGTCTCCCCGCCAACGCAAACGGAACGTCGGCTTGACCAGGACTCTGAGAATTGAACAGGTGTATCCTAGGTTCCGTTTGGCCCGATGTGGGTGAACAGAAACGCTACAAAGACGTCGTCTTCATTTTGGCCTCTCGACGCGTGCAGCAATTGAGGCAAAGTGGCGTTGCCTACCTCAGCCTGACGGGGGGGCGGCCACTGCGGGGAGTTCAACGCCGCACCTCTGGTTTCCCAGACGCGCAGAGTATCACGGCACCACCGGTGGTTCCGGTGCTAGAATAAGACATGTAAGGGCGAGAGGCAGAGGCCGCCAGAGAATCTCACTCTTGGCGCCGATGTCGCTGCCCCATCGGTTCTACTGGCATCGGCTTCAACCTCGCACAAACCCGGCGACTCCACGAAAAAAACAGGGTTCACAATTCAGCGCTTTATTGATGATGATGTAATTGTTTTTTACAGATACGTTCGACTAGGAGGCAAAGTCCGAGGGAATGCTCCAAGCTCCGCCCACTGCAGCCGATGAGCGGTCTCCCGCCGCCGGGTGGCCAGGTCCCCTCCCTCTTTTGGTCAGACGGCGCCTGCCGGCGGTGCGACACCAGCGCCCCTGGCGGCCGCATCACGCAACCAGTCGCACATCCGCTACTGCTGATTTTACTCTCCGAGCAGCACAAGGAAAAGTCCACAGGCAAGGACGAAACAAGGAGTAGAGGCACACACGCACGCACACAATTAATAGGCAAATAATGTAAGCAACACAATTGTTAAATGGTCAAAACATTCGGTTTGAAATCTTAATTCACCCGCCTTGGCCTTCCATTGCCTACCCCAATCAACAACACCACATCCACTGGTCGCAGCTCTCAGGAATTTCACATCCCTCTACCTCCCGGATAGCGGTGTAACAGTGTTTACCTCACGTTAAAACTTGGCTAACCTATCCCTTTCTGGGGTTTCGGTGCCGGGCGGCCCGTAAAACAGCGCTGGCGCGCTCTCGCGAGCCACGCCCGGCGCATCACCAGCCGGCGGCACCGCCGCCGCCGCCAGCTCGCCGGGGACCGTCCGTCGCGCGCGCCACGCTCGCGGGGGCCGGGTCGGCAGACAAGTAAAAAACGCAGGCAGGGTGGCCCCACACACACCAGGCACTTCTGACGGCGCGGCCGCGGCGGGTCGCCAGCTGGGAGCGCGCGCGCCCGCTGGCCAGGCCGGCGGCGCGCCCCGCCGCCCACAACTCAGGCGCGGCGAATTTGCTACGGAAACGGCTCACGCGGGCGCGCGGGGACCGGCCGACCGGTGCGCGCTCCCAGAACACAAGCCACACACAGACACTGAAGATCACAGTATTTTGTTGGAGACTGGGGGCGCGCGCGCGCGCCCGGCCCGGCGGCTAGGTTTCGGCAGCCAATCGCAGAGCGCGGCGGCGCTGGGCGACCAATCGGAGCACGCCGCGGCGGACACGCCCACACAGGGGTGACAGGTTCGCTACCGGAGAAGCCACGGATGAGAGGAACGAAATGAACCAGCGGTCGGCGTCGCCGCGCGGGCCACGCGGCGGCACACAGGCGCTTGAGCAGACCCGCACACGAGTGGCGGCCGGCGGTCGGCGGCCGCCGCGCGCCGGCGTCTCGCCGCCGGCCAGGACGGTCGGGGCGCGCCGGCCGGCCGTCTCAGAGACGGCAGCCGCCCGACGCCGCACGCCGGCGGCCGGTCCGCCGCGCCTCTCACGCCGACGCCGCGCCCTCTGCTCCTCCCGCAATATAAATAGACGACCGACCGACCGGTCGGGCCGGTCGGCGGCGGACCGGCGTGCGGGCCGGCGGGCGCGCGGGCGGCGGCGGCACGACCAGCTGGTCAGCCGGCCGGCCGGCCGGCCGCTCGCCGCCGGCCGCTCAGCGCCGCGGGCCGCCCTGGTAGCCGCCGCGGCCGCGGCTGCCCTCGCCGCGACCGTAGCCGCCGCGGCCGCGCGGGGCGCCGCGGCCGAAGCCGCCGCGGCCCGAGCCGCCCCGGTCACCACGGCCGCGGCCCTCGCCCACCCGCTGCTGCTGCTGCTTCTTCTCGATGTTCAGGCGGTGGCCCTCGTCGCCCTGGCGCGACAGTCTGACCGGCTGCAACGGCAGAGGGGGCAGTGTCAGAGCGAGCTGCCTGTCGGGAGGACAGAGACGCCGGCCAGCCGCGCCAGCACGGCGTCAGCAGGGCAGCGACAGTCCAGAGGGCACACGGCGCGGAGGGAGCCACGCGCAGACATCTCTGCTGTCGGCCGCCAGCGGGACCCTCCAGACGCGTACCCTCTGCTTTGATATCGTGTACACAACACAGCGTCACTGCCGGAGCTGATCCTCGCCGACTCCAGGCCACGCACAGTCAGATGGTCCGCGGATGACCGACGCCTGCCGACGAATCGTCTCGCGCGAGGCGACCACGTATTGGCGCAGAGCTGGTCATTCCTGTTTGGCGCTTTGTTGGCTTCTCGGGTAGCCAAATTTACTTAACTGTTGTATCATTTTTAGACAAGTCTGCACCTATCTTCATGTAAGTTTGTGCCCATCACGAGTGGACAAATCTCGCCAAGAACTGTTAAGGAAAACTGCAATTATACATCACAGGGCGCAATTCAACAATGTCCTCACAGCGATTTGAAAGGTAGACATTTGTCATTCACGAAATGAAACACGCGACATGACATGGAGATAGATACTGATAAATTGTTCCTGCTTGGGCGGTTTTTCACAGAGATCCAAAGTATCTGAATCACTGCCTGCTCCCGAGCACGCAGTTCGCGGCTGATGGTCCGTGACTATCATTCTCCAATGACCGTGATCAAGACGTGAAACGGGCAGCCGCTGCCCGCTTCTCACGGTGCCACACCCTGAGCTCTTCTTACATATACAAACGTGCAAAAAAGTACCGCATCAAATATTGTCTATGCAGAACATTTCACACAATGCACTGGCGAATGAGGCACTGCGGCCTCCAGAAGCTGTGGTAAAGACAACAATCATATTCCGTCTTAACGCACCAAAACTGCATCTCCAAACTCCTACAAAATACTGGCTTCGCTCGCCTGAAATGCCTCCCCACCAGCCGGAATCGTGACCTCCGGGCTTCGACCGCAGCCTCGGACAGGCAGCACTGGAGGGAGCGGAGCGGCCACGCCTGCCGTGCAGTACTGACACGCCCCTCACCCACCGGGTCGGAGCACCCCCACCCCGCCCCGGCACGTACCATATCAGCGAGCACCTTCTGCACGGTCGCGGCCGAGTCGAAGATGACGAAGCCGTAGTTGGGGTAGGTACGCGGCGGGACACCCTTGGGCGGTGGCTTGCTGGAGTAGATCTTGACGTCCACCACCTCGCCTGCAGGGGACGGCAGCGTGTCAGGGCCGGTCGGAGAGGGACGACAAGGCGAGAGTACGCCCGTGGTAGCGGCGGCTGACATGTTGCACTATCCCGGGCGGATGGGTACCACAGCCAGCACATCACACAGGTGGCTGGCGTGTTACACTATCCAGGGCGGACAAGGACCACAGCCAGCTCATCCCACAAGTGGCTGACGTGTTACACTATCCAGGGCGGACAAGGACCACAGCCAGCTCATCCCACAAGTGGCTGACGTGTTACACTATCCATGGCGGACAAGGACCACAGCCAGCTCGTGACACAGGTGGCTGACGCAGGACGTGCTCGGCCCTCGATGACCCATCGCCTCGCGCCATGGTGCCGTGCGTGACTGTGACGGTGCGGCCGGCCGCTGGCGACCGCGCGCACGAGCCCAGCTCAGCCTGGCGCCGGCACCGACAATCAAGGCAAGGCTGCCGCATAACACGTGATACAACGCGTCCAAAAACACTGATCAGGGCGCCCAGGCCCGTGTACACAGGACTGCCGCCCGCTGAAGCCCGCCAGAGGTCCGGCGAACAGCGGCCCGGCCACCCACCGAAGGGGTTGAAGTGGTTGATGAGCTCCTGGTCGCTGATGTCGGGAGGCAGGTTGCCAACGAAGATCTGGTGGCTGTCCGGGTGGGCAGAGAGCGGCCGGCGGCGGTCGGTGGCCTCGCCAGAGGCGGCGGCCGACTCTGACGGCTCAGCAGCGGCGGCCGGCGCCGGGCGCGGCACCGCCGGGCGGCTGGGCGGAGACTGCTCCTGCGGGCCGGCGGCGGCGGCGTAAGCGGCCGGGCAGCACAGCCGCCTGCCACTGACGGCCAACTCTCGCACATGGTCCGAACCCTCAGAGCAGATGCGCCCTACAGGCTGGCCACGAAGCCCGGCGCCCAGGCTAGCCGCCAATGCTAGCAGCTCACACCACCACTGCCCCGGATAACAGACGACACGAGCAGTGCATGACGCCAGAAATTGTACAGCAGTGCAACACGCGTCGAGGGCACTTTTTCAGTTCTTTTTTTTTAAATTCGCCGAATGAGGCCAATCCATCATTTCATCAGTCCAGCAGCTGCTGCTGCTGCTGCTGCCCCCCCCCCCCCCCTGCCCCACTACGGGCAGCACCGCACGCGACACATCACCAGCGCAGAGGTGACCATAGCACGGAACATCCCGCAGACCGCCACCAACACCAGCGCACGGCACCGCGGCAGCCCCGCTAGCGGGCGGTCTGTCAGCCCCACGGGTCGGCCTGAGAGCCTACCTTCTCGGCGGGCCGGGGCGGCGCGGGGCGCCCGGAGGAGGCCTTGAACAGGTTGGCGTACGTCTTGGGCTCGTTGGAGACTGCAACACAGTGATAGACAGTCACAGCCGGTCGGTGCATTCCACAGCCGGGCACACCACAGCCGCCTCCAGTGTGCGCCGGCGGGCTGGGAGGCTGAAGAGGACTGACAGCCCCCCCCCCCCCCCCTCCCTCTGGCACTCAAAGGTCGGACCACGGCTCCATACACTTGGGCAGACAGGCTTAGATTGTCTTCAGGGATCATGGACCAGTCAGGATCGATACAAATAATGATGATTAAACATAGGGTCCAGTCTCGTTAAATTTTGCTCTCCAAAATAAGATACATACGCTCAAGATGTAGACTTTCAGGCATTTCTTCCTGTGAACATGAACACCTACAAACAAGTGCTGAGACATCGCAAACACTTCTAAGTAAGTCGGCCACCACGGTACTTTACGTTACGACTCCAGTCAGGCTGACAACACAGAGCCGGGCCGTAGCGGCGGCTCACCGGGCTGCGGCGAAGGCTGGCGCGGCTGCGGCGACGGCTGCCGCGGCTGCGGGCTGGCGGCCGGCGGCGGCGCCGCGGCCGGCTCCGCCTCCATGGGCTCGGCGGCGCGCGGCGCGGCCGGCGGCGGCGAGGCCGGCGGGGAGGGTGCCGCGGCCGGCTCGGGGGCCGGCAGCTGGAACACACGCACCGAGTTCAGCGGGAGCAGGCGGCAGACAGCAGAGCAGACTCAACGACGACACATGGCATGCGCAAGTCTGGAGCCCAGATACTTTACCTGGACTAATGACGCGACCCGCCCTTTGGCAACACGCCTCTGCCATGGCAACCCTCACGCCTTTGAGCTCCGAAGACCGATCTTGGCAGCATTCGCAACTCTACGACACCCAGGTCCGCCTTCCAACAACGGGCGTGCCACAAGAGAGATCCCCGGACACGCACGCCACGTGTGCTCCGCTGTCCCCGATGAGCGGCGACGACGGCGCCGTGACGTGTCTGTGCAGTGGCTGACTACACACCCGTGCGCACACTGCAGCGCCCGTGGCTGCCAGCTACTGTGACACAGTGTGCCGGCCGTGTCGCGCCTGCGCCGGCGTGGAGGCGGCACCCGCGCATGTACCGCGCCGTCACCCCTTCCGGTGCGGTGTGCTGCATCTGCACCGGCGCGGCGTCCCAGTGTCTACCTGTCACGTGACGCTGACATTCGGATGTGGTGGCGGTGCTGTCGCATTCGTGCTCGCCAGCGCAGCCATGCCATTGCCTGAGCCCGCCCCGTGTGCATGCCAAAGGCAGCCTAGCAGCCCGACCCACCCCCATGTGTATGTCATTGACAGTCCAGCAGCCCCACCCCGTCCCCGTGTGCATGCCAAAGGCAGCCTAGCAGCCCCGCCCTGTCCCCGTGTGTATGCCATTGGCAGTCCAGCAGCCCGCCCCACCCCCGTGTGTATGCCATTGGCAGTCCAGCAGCCTGCCCCGTCCCTAGCGGCGTGAGGCACGCCCGTACCTGCGGCGCGGCGGCGGCGGTGGCGGCGGGAGCGCTGTGACCGTTCACGTGCGGCGGCTGACCGTAGCCGGGCCCGGCGGCCGGCGCCGACGGCGGCTCGGCGGCCGGCGCCGTCGCCGGCGCCGGCGGCGCGGCGGCCGCGAAAGGCGCCGGCGCTGGCGGCTGGATGGTCTGCGGCGCCGGCGGCGCCTCCGGCTCAGCCTCGTCGTCCGCCTCAGCCGCGCCGTCGCCGGCCTCCTCATCATCGGAGAACAGCTGCGGGAGCAGGAGCGGATGGTCAGCCACGCCCGCCTCCGCCTCTGACGTCCGTCAAGTCGAGGAGGGCTCAGCCAGCAGAGATGTCACCAATGGTGTGTCAACTGAACAGTCATGCCATCACAAAAGTGGCTTAACAGCGCATAAGTCGGCGTGACAAATATGCAACAATGCAAACCATGTTTTATGGAGGGCTACACAATAATGCAAACCATGTTTTATGAAGACCGTAACACATAGTATGAGATTGCACCAAGTCTACAACGCATCTCACAAAAAATACGCACCCGAGTGGACCAACGTCGGCTCCCTGAGCGTGAACACGGCACCCGATGCAGCACGGACAAGGACTCCATGTCCCAGCACTGACTTGGTGTCCCACACAGACTCCACATCCAGCACTGACTCCCTGTCCAGTACGGACGACCCCCGGCCAACCACTCACGTCATCCTGGTAGCGGAAGATGTCGTTGTAGACGTAGTAGTTGTGGGCGGTCTGCGGTGCCAGCACGAACGTCTGCATGAAGGGCCGCATCGGGGCGCCGTTGTTGGAGAGATGGCCCGACACCTGGCGGAGGCGGAAAGAAGTCAAGCTGTCAGAACCAGCCACCCGAGGAGCCGCAACCATCGTCAAGACTGTCTGCCGTGAGCTACACCGCTGCACCGTGTGCCGCGCTCGGGTGGGCTGGGGTCCGCTTTTGTTCCCATTCACCCCAAACATCTAGAGTAAAATCGCAGTGTAAGTGACTCTACCACACGCTCCAGACGTGCGTGCCGGGCACTGAACAGCAGACGACAAGCCACGACATGCAGTAACTGCTTTCGAAACAAGTTTGAGCCACTCCACGTCGGACTGAGGACACGTTGGACGTCGGACTGAACCCGGTAAACAAAGGAGTTCTAATCCAAAACGCGATGAGCGGCGGACCCAATAATACAAAGTTTCAAAGCCTTCCCCTGACCGCCGATTTCATCCGGCGCAACACCACTCGGGGGAAATCATCCTTGCCCCACACACACCTCTAGCTCCTCCACCATCGCGGCAAGCTGCTGTTTGATAACTACGGACACGCCAGCGCTATACCCTCACTTCGCACCCTCCCTCGCACAGTGCCGGCTCCTCTGAGACATCTGGCCCCCCGCATACCGCGATCCATGCGGGCGTCTCGCGCCCGCCGGCGCCGCGCCACGCACCTGGATGACGACACCGCCGGCCAGCGTCGGGTGAGCGTCCACCTGCTTGATCTTGGTGCGGGCGTCCTTGAACTGCAGCTTCTGGATGCGGTCGTTGATCTCCTTCTGGCCGCGGGCAGTCTTGGTCTCCGACTGCTTGCCGCGCTCCAGACCGCCGTGCACGAAGCTCGAGTCCTGGCTGTAGAACCTGGCGAGACGAGCGCGGCCGGGTCAGGTCAGGTCAGGTCAGGTCAGGTCAGGTCAGGTCAGGTCGGGGCAGACCAGAACGGCGCGGGATGCACTCGGTAGAAGGACTGCATGACCCTAGCGCGTCTGCGCCGTACAGCAAGGGAGGGGCGCAGCACGGGCAGACATTGCAGCGGGACCAGCAGTGGACAAGGGCGGGCGTCGTCGCTCTGCCCAGAGGTGACTCGGGCCCGGCCCACCTCCGACCCGCCAGCGGAGGCCGACGGCGGTGCGGCGGGCTGGAGACGACTGCCACCGGACACGGCTGGCGCCGCAGCCGCAGTGGGGCCCGCTGTATCGATGGAAGCCGCGCCGCGGCCCAGTGGGGCCCACTGTATCGATGGAAACCGCGCCGCGGCCCAGTGGGGCCAGCTGTGGCGATGGAAGCCGCGCCGCGGCCCAGTGGGACCCGCTGTGTCGACAGAAGTCGTACCGCAGCCCAGTGGGGCCCGCTGTATCGATGGAAGCTGCACCGCGGCCCAGTGGGGCCCGCTGTGTCGATAGAAGTCGTGCCGCAGCCCATTGGGGCCCACTGTATCAACAGAAGCCGCGCCGCGGGAAACGCATCGAGTTTGGGTGAAGCGGGGTGTCCAAACCCGCATTACGCAAACACTCGGAATCGACACACAGCCACAAACATCGAGCACATTTTTTAGATACAGATCTGATCGAATATTTTGCGCCTCGCGACATTAAAGCGTGGACCCGGACGCCTCGCGACATTGGACCCGGACGGTCCAATACGCTGCCGATAAGCGGCGTGTCCTCTCTCTCTCCCGACGGCCACGCCCCGGGGCGCGTGTCCAGCCCCCTCCCGCCCCCGCCCCCCCCCCCCCCGTCAGCTGTGGCAGACGAGCGGGCCGGGCCGGGCGGCGCGCCCGTTTTCGCGTCGGCCCCGTTTGATCGGCGACCGTGACGTCAGCCGGCTGGCGGTGCCGCCCGGCCCACACACACACGTACCGTCGCCGCCCGGCCGCCGGCTCGCCCGGAAGGGTGCACGCTGTGCCCCGGCGTGCGGTGGTCACCGATAGCGGCCCTATCTGTCGCTGATAGGACAACTGGTGTTGTCACCCGCGCAAGGAACTGTTCGGCGGCTTGTCTGTTGGGGCCGAACCCTTTACAAGACTGCTGCTGAGGTAAACTGCGGCATATTTGTGAAGATGTTTGGGGGCAAACTGTGTTTCGCTGCGTAGTTATACAATGTCCACTACTGCCTTATCCAAACACATACTCAGTTCTCGCCGCCATTACCTTCATCATGGTGGCTACCGCTGGAGGTTTTATAGTTCAGCCGAGCGAGACGACTGCGGAAATACGTGGGCAACGCTCCGCATGCAACGGCCGAGCACTGAGCCGCCGAGCGTGCCAAATGAAAGACACGACGGCGCACCAGATCGTGATCTGGGCCCATCAACTGCTCCGGCGCGACACCGCCGTGGCGCCGGGACGGCAGCGTCGGTAGGGTCAAACACCCTCCCGGGCACGGACGCCAGCCACACGTATGCGGCGCTGCTCAGCCGTGCCGGTAACCCAGCTCCCCGACACGGACGCCTGCCCTCAGCCGCGCGGGTGACCCAGCCTCCCCGACACGGACGCCTACCCCGGCGCTGCTCAGCCGCGCGGGTGACCCAGCCTCCCCGAAACGGACGCCTGCCGCGGCGCTGCTCAGCGGCGCGGCGCGGCCGACTCTATCGAGCCGCCGGCGTCGACCGGTGGCCGGGGCCTCGGGCCGGGTTCGGCGGCGGCTCCACGCGCGTCAATACGGACCGACGGGCCCCGTCGGCCGCTGAAGGCCGCTCTCGGGCCGGCCGCGGCCGCCACAGCCGATCCCACACGTCCACGCCCGGCCCGGCAGCGCCCCGCATTCACTCGCGGGATCCGGCGCTGGCCCCGCCGCCGCCGCCGTCACGGACACAAGATCGGTCCGGCGCCGGCGCGGGCCGCTGGCGGGGAGGGGTCGCTCGGGCCGGGCCGGGTCGGGTGCCGGCGCCGCTGTCGGGCGCGGCGCCGCTGGCGAAGACCTACGCCGGCCGCCGGAAGTCGGGCGGGCTCGAGTCCCGCTCAAAGGAGCGGCCCCGGTCGGCCGCTGGTTGCCGGGTCGGCGGCAGCGTCTCCCTACTGCCGGCCCGTGTGAGCAGGCTCGCTTCCAACCCCAACGACCGGCACAGTTAAAGGGATGGGGGGGGGGGGGGGGGGGCGGGCACGAGACACGGAAGCCATTCCCGTCCCCTGAGCCGAGCAGTTTACACCACATACTGGACGATTTGGCAGGAATTCAGTCCGCATTCTCAGGAGCTCGCGGAACATCTGCCCGCTGACCACGTGTCTGCAGTGTCCCCAGACGGCCTGATAATATCGGCAACCCAATTCCCAAAGCAGTCACTGTCCATGAGAGGCTGCCTGGCAGCGTCATAACGTGCCCGGCGTTATCGAGCCACACAATGCCCCGTGCGCACGAAACTCAGCGGAGCAGCCCCAGCTGGGGAGCGCGCCGACGAACACGTTCCGGGTAAACGATCACCCGCGTGGGTGTGGAATGACCGCCATCTCCGCTGGGCCGACGCGTCATGCCTCGCCACTCGATCCAACTGCCAGCGACATCGACGAAACTGTTCCAAGAACCATGCCCTGCGCGACGCTTTCCAGCCCCGCTTGACGGCTTGCGTTCGCGGCGGCGCCTCAGCAGCGGCGCGCCCGAAGGCCGCGATCCGCTCCGCCACATCCAGCCCGCGATCTAATATACCGGCTCGATACTCTACGCTGAGCCAGAGCGCTGCCCGGTTCTCTAGCCCCCTCCCCTGCTCTCCATGCCCCCCGCCGGACCGTCGTTGGTGAAATCGACGGCTGCCGCACTGACAGCCACGCTCCTATCCGGACAGCCGGTCTGCTCGGAGGGACCAGCACTGCGGGCCTGCTCTGGGAAGGGCTTGAGCCGGTATACGCGCATCCTTCGCCCGAGGCCAGAAGCTGACATCGGAGTATGCAGCGCCGGGCGCACCGGCCGCAGCACCAGAGGGTACTTCCCAGCCACGTCATGCTCACGTTAAGGTATTCTGAGAGATCATTTCCATCTACGAGCACGGCCTTGGAGCCCACAGTCCTGTTAACCGCGAGCAAACCAGCCCAACGCTAGGGCCTATTCAGCGTTTTAATCCGCTTCTTCCCATGAGACATCAGACGCAATATCTATTTCACGCGTGTTAAATTTCAATCCCCGAGGATCCCCAAATAGAGACGTCCTTGAACAACGCAGGACGTTGCAGGTGTAAGGCGCCCAACACGTCACCGGGGTATTAGGGCCACGTTATGTGACCTCAAACGACAATCCTACACTTCGCATACGTTGTGGATTGTGTACGATAGCGTACTCGTCTCTGGCGGAGGGGAAGGCTCGCCACCCTTGCGGGAGAGGGCAGGGCCTTCGAGGCCCTCGTCCGACAGCAGCCGTCATCCCGTTACATAACGCAAATGCCCGACGTTGTCAGACACGACCCATGCCGAGCACGCGCCGCCCCGGCCCGATGATGTCACCCCGCCGGCTCACTACGCTCCGGCCGTGCCGGCGCCGCTCTGGAAGACGTCCGCACCGAGACTTCCCCGCGGCCCCTGACGTCACGACCACGGCATGCACCCGGTCCAGATCAGCCTCGCGCTCCTCCGTCCGAGGAAGAAGCCCCACGTTATACCGCAGCCCGGCATTGGAACAGCGCGTGTGCGTTTGTGGCGTGGCGCAGACCACGATCGGACGATCCAGCTTTCGTTCCCGAACTATGCGGGGATGGGTCATGGATGGACGCATGGATTAACTCAAGCGTAACTATCACAGGCACGAAGCGTTCGGTCGCGGGCGCGGACGGCACGCGCGGTGGACGCGCCTCCGACGGAAACCCGGCGCCCGGGTGCCTCACCTGTGCACATGGTCGGGCGCTTCGTTCAGCAGCGTGTAGTACTGCTTGACGAAGACCATGCTGATGTCGCGGGGCGTGGGTTCATCCATGACAGCGGTGGGCATTCCCATTACCATTATCTGCCGACTGGTGTCCAAAGTCCCCGACAGGCTGCAAACGGCGAGAGAGCGGAGTGAGGCGGGCGGGCGGGCAGGCAGACGGACGGACGGACGGACCGGCCACGCCGCCGGCGCCCAGCAACGCCGCCCGTAACACTGATGCGCTCCGTGGGCGATGCCAAGGCGACCGAGCGTCGGCCGGGACGGGGTCACACGCTCCGACGGAGGGGCTCCTTGTTCGGCCCGTCGTCCTCATCCGGCGTGCTGGTATGCTCATGAGGCTTCGGCCAGTGGAGTTCCCAGCTGTTATCAAGTGTTACGGAGTCCTGAGAGGGACTGGATTACAGTGTCCTCCCTTTCTCGGTTATCTCAGCGGTCGAACATTAGATTAGTAGTCAGAAGACCCCGGTTCAAACCCATGCAATGCCAAGGGGGAAATTCGGGATGTGACATGTACATGGCCAAAACCCACACATCACCCAGTCAGTCTCAGGACCTGACAACATCTGACAACGACCTGACAATTTGCCGGCCGAAGCACTGCATACTTCCTTACACACTAGACGAGGATGGTAGCCAGAACAATCATGCGATCCGTTTAACTTATCTTGTCTCACCTATTGTATACTACCCAAGAGCTCTTCTAAGAATTTCATTAATCCCTGTAAACCGTGTGTACGTTTCCGACCTTTCACGGCAAGGCAAACACTTCTGACAACGCGTCTTTCCTCTAGCCATTTGTGGCACATCCACTGCTACAGCCGCGGCCACAACCCCTCGTACATCGATCGCAATAAGACAGTACTTGTGCCTCTCAAGTGCCATTTATGGCCAGTCTACATAACAGACAATTCCGTGCATCCTGCACTTGCATATCAGTAGTTATAATCATCTCAACCCTCGCGGCTTCCACGCAATGGACGAGTGCATCCCCATACTTGGTGTGTCAATTCAAAAAGAGTAGCCTTTCTGTCTCCCAATTGTCCAAATATAATTCACTAGGTTGGAAATTGCCAACCTTCAGTATGCTGGGTAGCACTGAATAAATGACATACCAACTGCTACTGGTCAGGCTACCACTGAGCCATGTTATGAGAGACCTTTCAGCTGTAAGGCTGTGCTCATACACTCATGGCATTGAAGAATGCCATGGAATGCTGACCTTTCTCCTAATGTATTCTTAGTGGCAATGCTCTCCATCGCCAAGAGAAATCAGAGCACAGAGCCACTTTTGATAAGCATTGCATACATGTAAAAATATGTGACATATGTTTCATGGGGTAAGATTAATCATGAGTGAGGCAAATTTTGCTCACACAAATATTTATACCCTGGCCAACCTTGCCTTAAGTTTTACCTGACCAGATCACTGTGTCAAACCCACTGCAGGGCCCAGGAAAGCCCCACCCAGAAATACCCTTTCAACCTTACTGCTGTCTGACCACCAGCTGCATCAGTAATTAAAGGAGACCCAGCTAATGGCAAACCCTCCAAAACCTGTCTCAATTACAGCACACCAAACAAACTTAACTGATGCTGTGACCTAAGATAGTGTGGCAAGACAACCATACAGAGTTTTTATCCAGTTCCCCTTCTCATTGTGACCATTAACCACCCAAAGTATTAATGGTGCCAAGGTTCAGGTCACAGCAAGCAGACCTGTAAGTCATTGCATGCACCCTGACTTCAAAGACTGCATATGTCAGGCTTGGCCATGCCTACAGTCAATGCACATCATTACTTTACATTAGTTTCATCATTACTGTCAGCTCTTACTGCCAGATCAAGGACCATGCACACATATGATGACAGTAAGCTAAATCACACAATTTGTGTTATGGGACATGCCCATTGATGCTAGATGCAAGTAATGAAACCTTGTAATCCTGATAAATGCAGTGATAATAAGTCACATTCAATTATGTGAGAACTTCATTGTCATCAGAAAACATCACATAACATACTCAGTATTTCTATTGCAAACCAATGAGAACTGAAAATCCCCACTCAGATTCTAATAAATGACCATCTACAGTAATCTGGATCATTAAGCCAAGTTTGATGTTCTAACTTTTCTAGTCAATAATAACTGAACACTAACTTGACATCCCCAAAGACATGCACATAATTCAAAGGCACCTAGCATTGCAGCCTATGTTTTGAGCCAAACTGACCATGTCAGAAGTATTTTGAAAAGAATCTCAGTACTGTGTACAGGGTTGACAGAATCTAACTGCAGAGTTTCTGTCACCCACTCTCCATGGCTACAACTGCCTGGCTTAAACTCCTGGTGGGGCAATGGCAGAAACTCCAGGTAAAAATTGTGAGTGACACAAAGTGATTGACTGGCAATTCTAGGAGCAACCAGGAGGTAAAACCACAACACAGAATGAATGCCTCAGTCACCAGGTGAAGGTTTTGGGGCGATCACTCACAGCCCCTTCACTCCAGTCCAAAGCAAAAACTGCACAACATTGTTACATCAGCCACTACAGTGGTCCCAAGCCACTACTCCATTTCATCCACCATTAGCACAGAGAGCACAGCATGCAGAGTGGCTTTTATCTGTGTAAGAATTACAGGCTTTTTAAGTCTTGCTTCAGTTTGTGCATATGTAGCATGATGGTAATAATGCAGTGTCATTTTGTCATGTCTTTGTACTGTATCTATACCTGAACTTTACAGCATGAACAAATGCTTATGTATTTTAAATCCAGTTGATCATGCTCAATATTTTTAAAGTTTGCCAAAATGTCATTGAATGGTATGTAAAATTGTGGTAAAATATACCATGCACCAAATGCAGGATAATGCATCCATACATCTGCCCAGCAACACATTGCCACTGATAATAGGAACAGTTGTACACATCACCACCCATGGTCACCAGCCCTGGGGCACAAGCTCAGATACTAAATGGTGTGTTATTCAAGGCATATACTTCAAACATTTTCCTCACACTGTCCCACAGGCATCCTGTTTCTGGTATTGTGACTGCTAGGAAGCATTACAGCCATAATCTGGTGACAAGTAACATTCAAAAGGAGAAATACTGGCCTGATGTTTTTGACATTTAATGCCAGTTTTTCCTGTAAGTTGTTAAGTGCATGTGAGAGGAACATTATGCATAAATACAGCAGCAATAGCCCTATCCCTCATAGACAATCCAGAAGGTTGGATAGAAAACATCTATATGCCCATTTTCTTAGCTCTTCTGTAACGATAATGCTGTCCTATTAGTTTTAACTGATGAAATAAAAAAAAAACTAGGAAGTTGCTGACACTAACTTCACCTGGCCACAATGCTGAGCCTGATTTGGTCTTAAATACATGCTCTGGCAGTACTTGTATAAAATATTTAAGCTCCTTTGATGCTAGAAACATTAACTTTGCTCCTAAAATGACTGCATGAAATTTTATTTCAGCTCTTCAGGCTTGTGAGTGAGAAAATTATAGTAGACTGCATGGCAATGCTGAATTCTTTTATCAACAGATTTTGCCAAAAGCTATCCAATCCAAGTGAACCACAAAATCAAAGTGCTCAAATAACACACATCTCCATGAACAACTGAGCAAATGAAATGCCTGCTAACATAAAGAGGCCTACTAAAACTACCCCCAGGAAATTTTGCACTGCATGACAGCACAGTGAGGAAGCAGGAAAAGCAGCCCTGAGCCTATAAAAGCCATTATTCATTTCGTGGGTGGGGCTTTGCCTCTCCAGCAAGACTTCCAAGCTTGGGGTAGTCCAAAAAACTACACACACACAAAATTGTCCAGAACAAGGCATGATGGGTGATTAAGCAATGAGGTACTGAGCAGGGCAGCACACACAGTTATACTATGCTTCCAACAGCTCAACAGCTGATGAACATACAACTGGCCCACAACACACTGCACAACACTGTAATACGCTATATCATGTCTCTGAGATTAAAGCCCCATACTAACATGCTTGAAACATCAACAACTGACCACAACAGGCATGTTTCACTGCACTCAAGGAAAAGACAATCATACAATGTTCAGCATCAAGTTAACCTGCATCTGCCTGGTAAAGTTATCTCACATCAATTTGACTTGCTGCAAGATAATCTCAGCAATTAACTTTGAACCTGATTAAGATAATCTATTCAGTCAGATAACAGTTGCAACTGAAACAGAAGCATCAGCCCTAACTGGCCAGTATAAATAACGTTGACATATAAATAACGGTGACTTACATAGAAACATTGACCATTTCAGGTCTTAAAGAGACACAGACATACTCAGGTCTTATATGGTTTCAAACACAATTTGTCAAGGCAATCATGCCCCATTATGCAACTTCATAATTGAAGCTCCTGGATTTTACATCACATTATCAGCTTGAGTCATACCAAACTCATTATGAAATGACAAGTTAAAGAATGACATCTGATAATCATCCTCAGCCATGGATCAGCAAAGAGATTAGTCATCAATCACAAAACGTCATCATTTTTAAATTAGAACATGACACCAAAAATTGTTTGCTATCCTACACTGCATATATCTGCTTGTGGAGCAAGAGCCATGGAACTTCTGTGGGCTTTTCAAGGAACCTATCTTTATGATTCATTAGAATGATTTTTAAGCTCAGAGTCCATGCAAAGCTAAGTATGCTGGAAAGACTGAGCCAATGCTCCCCCAAAGCAAGTTCCACAATTAAACTTTCCAAAGAACAAAACGGCTGTCCCCTAACAGCATGGCCGGGTCTAAGTTTGAAGTGGTGATTAGCCTGGGCCCACCAATTCATCATCTCCAAGTTGGAAGGTGACATCCAAGTCACAGTGGTGATTAAATGGTATTTTAAATCACATAGTATTTAAATGACCATCCACCAGAGATATCTCTATGATCCTAAACAGAACATTCTTAGAAATTTCCCACATCCCACAAAATCAGTCCACTTTTGGATGCTTCCGATTCTGTGTAAAGCTGTTTCTTATGACAAGATCACATTAACAGTTTTTGTGCATAATGCTTCTCCTTACCTATGTGCACAAAATGCACAAATCCATATACTTAAGCAATATGCCACCCAAGTGTATGCCAATCATTGACATGGACAAATGACACATGTGAGTATAAACCACACAAAAATATTACATGTGATTTCAATATCAGTGAATTCCTAACCATCATTATACACTTTGCTATGGGCCTCCGCACCAGCATACATGGCCATTAATGCCTAAAGTATTCACAACCTTGATCACAGGTTATGATGCCATGATCTATTTCTAAGAATCTTAACCTTAAACAAACAGCTGTGTCATTTGGGTTTCATTTTCATGTGTGAAAGACCTGCATAAACCCTAAAGTTAAAGTTCCATACTCAGGGCTAAGTTGGAAAGATTGATGATCACTTTTGATGCACTGTGGTGCATGGTCGCCACACCACGGTACCCTCACCAAAATAATGTAAGATAGCGATAGACAAACAGAAAAGCATAAAAATCACAAATATTTACCGAAAAGGTCCGAATCACAGTACTTAAATAGTTCCCTCCCTTAAATCCTTGTTCCACAAAGGACGACAGGAAACGCCGACCTCGCCGCGCTTCCGCAGGCGTCGTCACCACGCAATCTAGACACGATGACGTGAAATCAATGCTCTACAAGTGCCTAAAAAATCACAATTATTATTCAAAACCCCACAGCCTTGCAAAATTTCAAGAACATTAATACCCCATATGCATATACCTGAAGATGCCAACCCGTCTCACCTCGATCTCGTGCCGCGAACCTGCCATGCGCAAAAGAGAACTCCAGAAGCCAAAATGGTGGAATGATCAGCTGGAATATTTGTTTTGGGTTGAGGGCTACACAGTTCAAATGAGTGCTGCTTCGCAATGTAAGTTTGGCGACAAGGGAACATAGCTGCTAAATATGTGTAATAAAATAGGTAAAAACAGGATGTGTCCTCACATGCATAAAACAGGAGTAAATGGAGAGTCGTCCACCAAGTGCGTCACGTGCGGTGGGCTTCTTGATGGAGCGTAACGAAAGCGTAACAAGGGAGTAAGTGGGAAGTTTGGACAGCGCAAAGTTAAGTTACGTTATTATTACGCGCAAGTGCAATCGCAAATTGCCAGTATTTAAAAAAAGCACAACTCAGCCAGATGTTAAAATCTTCCTCTCATGACAAGGAGCATGCTATTATCTGTTTCGCACCTCTAACTCTATCAGGGCCTGAGCGGATGTTACTATTTTGGGACGTTCCTTAAAGCGGCATAACCAGGGTAGCAGGATTTGCTCAGCGAAACCAGTGCGTAGCGAGTGGAAGGAAGGGTTGAAATACATAACGTAATTTATGAATGACCCCTTGGCACGCATCACATGCTTTGCGAGGCTGTCTGTGACACCGTCAGAATGAAAAACGCGGCCTTTTGAAAACAAGTCATGTTGGCCTCTGACATGAATTCAAAGTACTCTTACACTGACTGACCAAGCAGAAGCGTAGACGGCATTTGCGACCATGACATGTGAAAAAGCCGCGACCGGAGACAAAGGAGGATACAGGGCCCAGGGGTACAAGGTCCTGGCAACTAGCATCCCTCCCAATTGATATAATTATTGCTCGCTTTGCACAACTACAATCTGGGCTATAAATTGTACCTTCCCCAACGATATCTGGTGCCTGCCAAGACTCAATTTCGCATTTACTCTTGACCGCACAAAACTTCGTACCACATGTCCTCGTTATATGACGAGTGCATGCCATAAAAAGCAAATTCGATTTCGTATTACGAGAACTGGCATGATGAGAAAATATTTTTGCAAGTTGTCATTTGAACATCACGCACGCAAATGCTCGCGTCGCATATCGGCGCCCACCAGCTTCGCGCGCAAACCTTTGGTATGCGCAAAACGTCTCACCTGAAAATTTCCGTCCTCCACCACGCGTTCTTGATGTATGACGAGAGCATGCTGTGAGAAACAAAGACACGTGACTCTCCATTTCGTCTATGGGAAAAAGCGCGCTCAAAAATAGCTTTGCAGTGTGTCATTTCAACATAACTCACGCGAATGGTCGTATAGCAATTGGGCGCCCACTGTCTCCATACGCAAACCTTTGGTACGCGCAAAAACATCACACCAGCAAATTTCCGCATGTGCATTGTTCTTGGGCTGTTCGTTTGGTGTGTGCAACATCGCATTTTTTTACCTTCGCTTTCTTTGCACATTCGCTCAATCATTGCATCGCAATATTCGTGACGGATACTTGCATTACTGCAATGATAAAAACCGAAAATATCATCCGTTATAGTGCTTAAGCGAATACAAATGCAGACCTAGACCCATGAGCTTAGGACCTAAGCTGGTGTGGTTGCACATATTATGTATGCCATTTTCTACGTAGCCGCCTACATGTTCATATTTTTTGAACCGATGGTAAGAACATTTGCAGTCATTGGTTCGCCCATGCCCTCAGGCGCCCTTGAATTAGGGCGAGGGGAGGGAAGGAGGAGTTCCTCTTTCCGAAAACTTAACATTGGTGCTATGGACGTTGTTCTCTCAACTTGGGAACACTTCCATTGTTCCTGGAGGCCCAAATGAAATATCGTCATGCATTGTAAGCGTGAAAATACTTTCCGGCCAAAAGACACGCCCGTTTGACACCGCGGCCACTAACGTGTCAGCAGACCTCAGAAACAATGTTTATTGTTAGCACAGAATGGCTACGTTGTCGATGCACGCAGCTGCAGTGGTCACAAGCGTCAGCCCATTTGCGTACGCAGGCTCCGGCGGGCTGCGGCAGGTTCTGGCAGACTCCGGCAGGCTCCGGCGGGCCTCGACGAACTTCGGTAGGACCCGGCAGGCTCCAGCAGGCCCCGGCAGGCTCCGGCGAGCTCCGGCAGACTCCGTTGGGACCCGGCAGGCTTCGGCAGGCTCTTGCCGGCTCCGAAAGATTCCGGTGAGATCTGGCAGGCTCCGCCGGGCTCCGACAGGCTTCGGCGGGCTCCGGCAGACTCCGGTGGGATCCGGCAGGCTCTGGCGGGCTCCGGTGGGCTCCGGCAGACTCTAGTACGACCCGGCAAGCTCCGGCGGGCTCCGGCAGGGTCTGGCAGATTCCGGCGGGCTCCCGCGGCGTCAACTCGGCTTCACGCGTGTAGGGTCTCGGTCAGGCTCAGCTCGGCCGCACGCCGTAACGCCACGAGGCCGACTTCACAACAGACGCTTCCGATCGCACATCTACGTCGGTTCGAGAGAGCTGTTGGCTTTCAGACTCCACCGTCCTATGATGATCGAGCGGGAGGGTTTATACTGGCAGTACTGGCACAAATTTTCATCAAACAAAGATGAGGCTGTGGGCACATTTGAATGCAGTGTAGGATGCAAGTTATTGTGACAAAATCAAGAACGACGAAGGGAGCATCCAGAAAAAGTTTGCAAAACATTACTCGATGAACTTCTAGGCTTTATCGTCGCAGAACAGGCTGCTTAATGCTTCTACGTAATGTGTAGGCAATTGAACATGAAACTTTCCCGAGTCGTCGTCGGAAAGGCAAAAGGAATTATGGGCGGAGCGATGAGCCATTAGGGAATCCCGCTCCGCTGCAGCGGCATGATCGACCTCATTTGACCTGCCAGCAGCATAGGGCGTTTGGGTTGGCACGATCTGCTGAAGTTAGTGGTTCAAGTCAAGTTAGCACAGAATGTGCCATCGCGCTTTGGTAGCCAATGCAGTTACATCCTTTGCAGACAAATTCAATATCCGATAAGAGCGTGTCTTTGAGTTTCAAACAAAGAAAACAAGGGCATCATGTGCCTGCAAGGAAATTAAAACAGTTGTCCCGCGAAGTGGGTACAGGAGCGTAGTTTCCTGTTCAGTTGGTGGTGGTGGGGGGGGGGGGGGGGGGTCACTTCCCCACTTGGTCTCCAGCCATCAAACTTTCAACAAAAAGTCTGCCAAATGCTAGGACAAAGTTTATTGGCACATTGTGGGGCATGCTCTGTTGTTTTGTATTGTTCAACCCCCCCCCCCCCCAACTCGTTTATAAAAATCATGCCTGTCGCCAAGTCTGCTGCTGATCAGCGAAATACAGCCATGTTGACGAGGGCGAAAAACAGCATTTAAGGTAGCAGGGCAACACCAAATCTGGGGCATCCGAAACACACACGAGCAAGCACCACCCTCACTGGGACGGCGGCACCACCGTCGCCTAACCACCGCTATTGACCAAATTTGGAAAGTACTGCCGCTCGGACCGCCCTAACCAATCAGCGTCACGTGTCAGTTAACGTCATTTAACGGTGGCCCTTCAAAAACGGCTCGCGCGAAAGAAGCATCGCTGCCGCACATGTCACGCGGACGTTAGGTTGGCTGCAAAAACCAGCAGGGCGTTGGTGGCGTGTAGAACATGAAACGTGCTTCGCTGGAAATGTTTGGAGATACAGAATGCGAACGGACATGATTTACGCTGAGAACGTAAATCATGAGAGCATCTGGGAAGATAAATCCAAATGTGGAAGGTATGAGGACTCATATACCGCCATACCTTTATACCTTCATAAACACACACACACACACACACACACACACACACATATATATATATATATATATATATATATATATATATATATATATATATAATTGCATGCAAACTATCATGGTCTTGTTCTTTCTGCTACACGGACAGACACAATAGCTTGCGGTGAAATAATTCAAGTTTGTAACACATTACCTGCAATGGAGTCTTTCTAACACAAATAGTATTTCCACGCGCCAAATACGTAATGGTTGAAAGCTCAGCTTGCTTTCCAGGCTAGGCAGCTCATTCCGGTGTTGTGGGAGCTGCGGATGCTAAGTCTTCGGACGTAACCCGTAAAGCAGCATTTCACCCGGAGTGCTGAATAAGAAGGCAAAACAGCGAGGTCGAGGTCCAGTGTCATGACTGAAATTAAACGGCCACACTGGGTTTGCTCCCAACATTTTGTGTTTTGTCGTGCTGCTTAAACATGCCGTAACGCAAGATTGTCTTAATATGTTGCAGTCTGATGTTGCAGCTCGTGCCTTATGCCAATCTTTGCACGGTTTCTTTGGACACTGCAATGTTCTGAAATGACCGTGTGAAGCTAGTCACCATTGCTTAGTGTATGCAACACGTGAAAACGCACATCTCCCACCCAAAGAATTCAATGAGCAATTCATTTATATGCAACGTCCAACAAAACTTGTTAGCGCTGCATGCAGCACTACCTCTTTTCCCACGGCGGTGACCTCAACTTTGTACAGCTGTGAGCGTCGAGCCAGTCATGTGAATCAGGCGAACGGACCCACCGGACGAACGAACGAACAGGCGGACGGACTCTCCGGACGAACGAACGAACAGGCGAACTTTTAAAGTATGAATATTGCCTGTAATTGTGACCTTTCCCAAGTCTTTCGGGGTGAAAGGAATATCATGTATAGTAGAGAAAATTGCTGAGTTTTACTTGCATAACCGTAATCTACGCCACATTTTAAACGGCGTTTATCACCCACCCGGGTAGTTGATTGTATGCAACGTCGCTCGGGTGGGGAGAGTGTTAATTTGACCCCCTGGAATCTCAATGACGAAGAGAGCTAGAAATACCAAATGCACATGATAGTTAGGTATACATGTGAAATTACCTGTGTCATATTAAGGAGATCCTAAGTCATGACTGTCCGGTCAGATAAGGTCATACAAGGCCCAATTTGAAATCAGTTTTGAAATTCCATCAAACCTATCCACGTAACCAT